AAACAATGTATCTACAAAATATATCTGCAAAATCTGTAATATTCAACAACAAAAAATACTTAGTTAAGCATATTGTGCAAAACAACAATAAAAAAATTAAAATCCTATCAGATTTATAGTTCCCATTCTGCAGATCTATTAGAATCTGTCCTTAAATTACAGCCAAACTCATTTATACAGTAACAGATAAAAACCTTTAGATAAATCAAACACTACCGCCACATATCTGACTCTATAACCATTAAAACAACTATTTTCATTCATTTCAGACGGAACTATTCACAGAGTTGTATTATATTAAACTGAACTTCCAATTTTCACCACTGTTCGGCCCCTGTTCGGCAAGTAACATTTCCTCTGATCACGGAGCAAATCCCGATGATGAGACATTTGTTCTTTCAATCAACCCCCCCCCCCGCTCCAAGGTGTCCTGGTTTTCCCAAATGAAAATATGGTCACCCTAGATTTGTTGATCTTGAAGGAGAGGATCTGATTGTTGACTCCAGAGAAGTGAAGGATCTTTGACTCCAATCTGTGTGTTGGTTTTCCAGTGTATGTCTGATTCGGCGGAGGGCCGAACAGGGTTTACCCAGAACTCGGACGGTGTAGGTGAACGGAGACGCTGATTGCCACTCAGATTTCCTGCTGTACTTGAACGGGTCTTGGTGGAGATGATCCCCTTGCTCAGAGAGTAATTTCAACGTCCTGAAAAATAGACTGGATCCAAACCTCCTGTTTGAATCCCCGGCTCAGTTTAAGGCTGAGTTGATCCCTCCAGGGAGAGAAGGTCTGAAAAGGTCCAGTTTGCAGGATGACTTCCTGCCGAGAGGCAAAGACAAAAACAAAGTTTAAACTCAGAGAGACAAGAACTCAGTTTTACTTAGTGAAAACTCAGCTTGGCTAGAGTACCAAAAACTGGCAAACACTCTGGCGTCGAGGTAGTGGCAATCAGCAGCTTAAGAGCACTCCGTTAATGAGTAAACCGTCAGCAGGTGTGTGAGGAGGCAGATCGGAACAAGGCGCCTCCTGCTGGTGGAAGGGAGACGAACACAAAAACAAACACACTTACTGGAGCCCTGACATTTGAAGGTTACCAGAAGAACCAGTCGATGCTGCATTTCGCCAGCCTGAATCTTTTGGTGGATCTAGTAATGATTTGATGTTTGTTTCACGTGAACCGAAAAAATGTAATGTTTAGAAAAGATTTACAAAAAAGATCAGAATAACCAACAGTATTGGAAAACACAAGTTGAAACCTGAGTTAATCGTTCTCATTAAGTTAGTAGAGTGCTTGATTAAAGGACCTTAATATTATAATATTCCCTTTTCTTTACTGGAGCTTCTAAATATATTGATCTGACTCTCCACCTCATACACCAACACCTGGGTTAAACTGCACCTTTTTCTTGGTTGCCATTGGCGACAGTTAAATAACACTGATCATCTGGCTCATTTAAATACAGAATGGCATTCATGCGTTGCTTTGCATGGACATTTTAATGTTAATATGGGCATGTGGAAGGCAGAGCATGAGGAGAAGCTTTGTAAAAAAAACTTTAATATAACGCTGTGATCTTTCAAGAAAAATTGCTTGGTTTCATGTGTGCACACGGTTTCATTAATCAGATTTTTTTTGTTTACTCCGTTTTCACAAACACTTATAGTAAATGTGTTTGTGAAAAAAGAAATGAAAACGCGTTTAAAATTTGTAGAGTCCTTGATGATTTGTCTAGTTTTTGTCGAGGATTTGTAGAGTAGTTGTTAAGGATTAACAGACTTCCTTTTGAGGATTTTTAGAGTCCTGGCTTTGTTCTTGTTAAGGGTCGATGAAATACTTATTAGGGATAAAATCTAGTTAGATCTCTCTAATCTCTATGATTATCCTGCTATAGGCTTGGGCTGCTTGAAGACATAGGGGCCACTTTTCCTTCCTCTGCTTCACTCTGTCTCTACGGAAGAGGATTAGGGCCACTGGGAAAAAAAAAGTTAACTGATTTTTTAATTTTATTTCAGTTTAATATGAGAAAAAGTAAGAATTCTGACTTTTTTCCCAGAATTGTGGATCTTTATGTAGGTGGGCCCCATGAAGGAAGAGATGTGGAGCACTCAGCTTCACTGACAAAGATGTGAGTTGTTTGAGGTGGCCAGTGACACATTGGTGGAAAATGATGGAATTAGGCAACTTTTTACGTTGCCTGAGGGGTCCCCTCATTAATGGAGGAGCAGAAGGTCATTAAAACAAGAGAGCTAGTCTCTAAAACAGACATGGCTACGGCTTGATGCTAACATGTTTGTTATCTGTCAGAATTCTGAGAAAAAAGTTAAAATTCTGAGATTAAAGTCAGAATGCTGAGAAAAAAGTCAGAATTCTGAGAAAAAAAGTCAGAATTCTGAGATTAAAGTCAGAATTTTGAGGAAAATAGTCAGAATTCTGAGATTAAAGTTGGAATTCTGACTTTAATCTCAGAATTCTGAGAAAAAAGTTAAAATTCTGAGATTAAAGTCAGAATTCTGAGAAAAAAAGTCAGAATTCTGAGAAAAAAAGTCAGAATTCTGAGATTAAAGTCAGAATTTTGAGGAAAATAGTCAGAATTCTGAGATTAAAGTTGGAATTCTGACTTTAATCTCAGAATTCTGAGAAAAAAAGTCAGAATTTTGAGATCAAAGTCAGAATTCTGAGATTAAAGTCAGAATTTTGAGGAAAATAGTCAGAATTCTGAGATTAAAGTTGGAATTCTGACTTTAATCTCAGAATTCTGAGAAAAAAAGTCAGAATTCTGAGATTAAAGTCAGAATTCTGAGAAAAAAAGTCAGAATTCTGAGATTAAAGTCAGAATTCTGAGGAAAATAGTCAGAATTCTGAGATTAAAGTTGGAATTCTGACTTTAATCTCAGAATTCTGAGATTAAATTTTAGAATTCTGAGAAAAAAGTCAGAATTTTTAGATTAAAGTCATAATTCTGACTTTTTTCCCCATGTTAAACTGAAATAAAATTAAAAAATCTGTTGTTGTTTTTCCCAGCGGCCCTAATCCTCTTCCGTATGTCTCTGTTCCCGACTTCTGCATTATTAGTTTCTAACTTATTTTTCTCTCTGCTTTTTTGACTTGTTAGCTTCATGTGGTCTGATTCTATTTAGCTGTGACACCATCCTGAAGGGAGGCATTAGCTGGGCTGCTGCCATAACTTCAGTGATAGTTTTTAGTGTTGGGACTTTTCTTTGTTTCTTTGTTTCTTTGTTTCTTTGTTTCTTTCTTTCTTTCTTTCTTTCTTTCTTTCTTTCTTTCTTTCTTTCTTTCTTTCTTTCTTTCTTTCACCTCTGACATGATAACTGGCGCTGAGCTCATCTGCGTAACCTTTTTCCATTTGTTAAGTATTTGTTTTACTTTTTAAGAACATGTAGAGCTCTTTTTAAAGTGTAGTGGAGTTTTTGTTGAGCATATGCTGATAATTTGTTTAGAATTTGCAGAGTCTTGCAGAGTATTTACGGTAATTAATATTAAATTTGCTAAAGACTTTCTAAAGGTCTTGATTCATTCCCTTTTTTTAATCTATGATATAGATTTGATGGTTTAATATTTGAAGCGCCTTCTCATTGGCTGATTTTCAGTTTGTAGATCTAAGCCAGGTCAGGTGTTTAGGTTTGCTTTCAGCAGGTTTCCTGTCTTGTTTGAACAAACCTGAAGATGACTCCAGCTTAGAGCAGCAAAGGTTGCTTCTGTGATTTTAGGTGTGAAGGAGAGCGCTGGGTGGAAACGCCAGCAGCTCCAAGGTATTTTAGGACTTACAGGAGAAAGATGTGGTCTCTGCTGTGTTTCACTTCCTGCTTTGGGGTTATTAACGCGCGGGACAATGGGTGGGGGGGGGGGGGGGGGTGGAGTGTTGGCGTTTCCTGCAGCTGTTACCCCTAGAAACTCTGGATCCTCTAAGGTTCAGGGAAGCCACTAATGACCACAATGAGCCAAAGCAACAAAATTTTCTGATTCAGTATCAATTTTATCAAACCTGAACCAAAAATGTTGCCTGCACAGAAACCACAAAGGAGCTAAGAGTTGTCTGGTTTTTAAGGTCTAGGGAGATGCAGCTGATGGCTGACGCTGGAGTTTTAGGAGATGAGAAGTTGATGAGGATGGGGCTTGGATTTGTGGAACAACTTTGGACACGTGAAAAAAAGAAAAAGAGATGAAATGAATTCTCAACCTCTGACAGGCAGAACAGACACCAACCTTTCCTTATAGAATGCTTGAAATAAACTCACACTTCTTGTCATTTTTTTAAGGTTATTGTGATATGTATATCAGAGCTCATAATTATTGTAAAACTGTGTTTTTAATCTACGTACATAGATTGTTGCACCACAAATTGTCCAGTTGTCAAGCATCCATACATTTGAAAAACGATTTAGAAATAACTAAACATTTCCTAAATTAAGTTTATTTACCCTTTATTTGAGTAGGTAATTGAGATTGTTTGCCAATGGAGTATTTTTACTTTTAAAATAAAATAATTGGATAATATGCATTTGAAATAATACAATGCAATTGTGTTTTATTTTAAGTGTAAATTGCCTTGTTCCATTGGCAAAATTTGTCTTTTACCTCCTCATTCCAAGAACAAATGCGCTTATTTTAAGAAAAGAATTACTTATCTAGATTTTGACTTTTTCCAGTGTACATTTTGTGAGGAGAGATGCAAGAGAAAGTGAAGGAAACAAACAGAAGATCAACTAGAAATCACTCTAACCTTAAACTTTGGTGTTGGGTTGCAGTCTTTTAGTTGTCATGCCAAAGAGGGTTGCTGCAACTTGTCATCATCGACAAAAACAGCACCGCCTGGATCAGACCTTGACCTTTATAAATGGGTTGAGGTCGGAGCTTTTTTAAGCTAAATGTTGTTCAGTGTTATCCAGAAGCTGTTAAGATGTTTGTGACTGTCCAGACGTTCCGGTTTCCAGATGTTACGGCAGCATTCTGACTCAGAACTCTTCTCCTTTCCCTCCAGTCATGTTTGTCTGCTGCTCTCCGGACATCTTCAGGAAGCTTATGATTCACTTCTGGCGGGCCGACCTTCCTCACTCAGAATACGTGTTTTTTTTCATCGACCTGTTCGCTGACAGCCTGAACTCCAGAGGCTATAAGCCGTGGGAGCGAGGAGACGAGGAAGACGCCATCGCCAAGGAAGCCTTCCAGGTGAGAGCTGCTTTCTACCAACCAGGGGCTAGCCCAGCTCTCCCTTGCAACCATACCAGTTAGAAACAAGTAGGAGATGAGGAGAGACGGCTTTATACGGGCAGGAGCACCAACAATTTTAATTGACCACCATATGACCTCCATAGTTGTTCCAAAAAAGTTAAAAAGCAATCCTTGTTTCCAAGTTTGAAGACGTTTCGCTTCAGATGTCTCTGAAAGGGGGAGTCATTCAAGTGAATTGTTGGCCCAGCTAAATAGTCGAGGTCTCCTTGCCCCTGTAAAGAGGTTGGGGTTGCGATGATAGCGGGAAGGGAACAACAGCCACGCCAACAATTCCTTTTAACGACCCCCCTTTCAGGTACTCAGGCTACGTTCACACCGCAGCCTGAAGTAACCCAAACCCGATTTTTGTGCCCATATGTGACCTGTATCTAACCTGACTCCGCCAGATGGATTTGCTCCGCATATCCATCTGGAAACCTTCCGTTGAAGTAATTTTGGGAAGGGGCGAAAATACTGGTTAGCTGATTGGCCTATGTTGGTGATAGACGGGCCAAATAAGCCAATCAGATCAACGAAACATATGACGTACTAACAGAGCGACGACGAAGAGGAGCCAATTGATAGATCAAACTCTTGCCGAAACCAGTCGGGAGAAGAGCAAAAACATCTTTTCCTCTGAGAAAAGCCTCCAGAGCAGTGTTTTGCTCTTCTTTCAGTCAAGAAATACTCTGTAATTCCGATAAAACTTGCTCGATAGCCACGCTAACGCTAGTTTCATGGGCTGAAGCCGCCATGTTCTTTAGACTGAACTGTCGCGCTTCTCGTTGCGTCACACCTCAACCCGCCTCAAAGCCAACGCTGATTGGACGTTCGTTTGGTGACCGGCTCCAAATTTTCTTTAACGGAGAGCCTCCAGACTGATTAGCGAGTGAAACCTTAAAAGCTCGCGAGATCAGGATGGTCTCAAGAGGCTAGCCTGTATCTGATCTTTTCATGGCAGTCTGAACAACACAGATCCGATTTTTTCCAATCTGACCCAGGCCACTTTGCTCTGTGGTCCGATACGAATCCGATCTTTTCAAATGCAACCTGTGTCTGAACGGCCAGGTCGCATTCATCAGACCTGAATGCCATTAATACCCGACAAAGGTCACTATTCAGGGTCTTGCTATGAAGAAGCGGCAAGAAAAACAACAAGAAAGCCCATATTCTTATCTTCAGCTAACACATTTAATGGTAAATGGCCTGTACCTATATAGCACTTTTTCAAGTCAGGAGACTTGACCAAAGCGCTTTACATTACAGGTGCTGGTCATAAAATTAGAATATCATGAAAAAGTAGATTGATTTCAGTAATTCCATTTAAAAAGTGAAACTTGTATATTATATTCATACATTACATACAAACTCATATATTTCAGATGTTTATTTTGTTTAATTTTGATGATTACAAATGACAACAAATGAAAATCTCAAATTCATCATATCAGAAAATTAGAATATTACTGAAGACCAATAAAAACAAAGGATTTATAGAAATGTTGGCCAACTGAAAAGTATGAACATGAAAAGTATGAGCATGTACAGCACTCAGTATTTAGTTGGGCCTCCTTTGGCCTGTATTACTGCAGCAATGCGGCGTGGCATGGAGTCGATCAGTCTGTGGCACTGCTCAGGTGTTATGATAGCCCAGGTTGCTCTAATAGTGGCTTTTAGCTCTTCTGAATTGTTGGGTCTGGTGTATTGCATCTTCTTCTTCACAATACCCCATAGATTTTCTATGGGGTTAAGGTCAGGAGAGTTTGCTGGCCAATTAAGAACAGGGATACCATGGTCCTTCAACCAGGTACTGGTAGCTTTGGCACTGTGTGCAGGTGCCAAGTCCTGTTGGAAAAGGAAATCTGCATCTCCAAAAAGTTGGTCAGCTGCAGGAAGCATGAAGTGCTCTAAAACTTCCTGGTATGTGGCTGCGTTGACCCTGGACCTCAGAAAACACAATGGACCAACACCAGCAGATGACATGGCACCCCAAACCATCACTGACTGTGGAAACTTTACACTGGACTTCAAGCAACGTGGATGAAGTGCCTCTCTTCTTTTCCTCCAGACTCTGGGACCTTGATTTCCAAAGGAAATGCAAAATTTACTTTCATCAGAGAACATGACTTTGGACCACTCACCAGCAGTCCAGTCCTGTTTCTCTTTAGCCCAGGCAAGACGCTTCTGACGCTGTCTGTGGTTCAAGAGTGGCTTGACACAAGGAATGCGACAGCAGAAACCCATGTCTTTCATACGTCTGTGTGTGGTGGTTCTTGAAGCACTCACTCCAGCTGCAGTCCACTCTTTGTGAATCTCCCCCACATTTTTGAATGGGTTTTGTTTCACAATCCTCTCCAGGGTGCGGTTATCTCTCTTGCTTGTACACTTTTTTCGACCACATCTTTTCCTTCCCTTCGCCTCTCTATTAATGTGCTTGGACACTGAGCTCTGTGAACAGCCAGCCTCTTTAGCGATGACCTTTTGTGTCTTGCCCTCCTTGTGCAAGGTGTCGATGGTCGTCTTTTGGACAACTGTCAAGTCAGCAGTCTTCCCCATGATTGTGTAGCCTATAGAACTAGACTGAAAGACCATTTAAAGGCTTTTGCAGGTGGTTTGAGTTAATTAGCTGATTAGAGTGTGGCACCAGGGGCCATCAATTTTGAACCTTTTCACAATATTCTAATTTTCTGATATGATGAATTTGAGATTTTCATTTGTTGTCATTTGTAATCATCAAAATTAAACAAAATAAACATCTGAAATATATGAGTTTGTATGTAATGTATGAATATAATATACAAGTTTCACTTTTTAAATGGAATTACTGAAATCAATCTACTTTTTCATGATATTCTAATTTTATGACCAGCACCTGTACATTCATTCATTCACCCATTCACGCACACACTCACACACTGATGGTGGTAAGCTACATTGTGGCCACAGCTGCCCTGGGGCTCAATGACAGAAGCGGGCTGCCGAACTCTGGCATACTAAGACTCTGGACTCTTGTCTTGCCCAAGGACACAATGACACTGAAAGCCAGAGCCGGGGCTTGAACCGTCAACCCTCCGACGCCACTGTCGCCCCACAGTATACATCAAGGTGTTACTTTATTGTATCTCTTATGCTATATCCGTTGGTCGTGCTGTTCTTTTTACATCTCTCTTTGCCGGTGATGAAGCAGACTGAAGATGTTTTATCATTCTGTCTTTTATCTCCTTTTTTTATCTTTTCTCCTTTTTCTTGTTCTTCTTTTTCCAATTTACTTACTGCATGAATTATATTTAAGCTATTTACATGCATCAATCAAGCAGAACACTATGGTGATAGCCGTACTGCTCCACTCCTGAAAGTAAAATCTGTTGGGCTCTTTTTGGCATCAAGACAATTATTGTTATTGCCACATTGCCAAACGGGACACTGGAAAAAAGAAAGAAAAAGGAACCAGAACTTTTGACTCTGAGGTTCTGGTGCTAGTAGGGAAACAATGGAAGGCGTTAGTCCTGGGGGACACAGATCAGTTTACCAAAACTAAAGAAATCTGTGAAATAATAAAACCAGAACAAATCATGTCTCCTCTCCTTCAAACAATGGGTTTCTGTTTTAAATGTGGGAACGGTCCAAAGTTCTGGGGTTTGGTTTTCATCCGTCTCTTTTCTTTTCCAGTGTGTGAAGATCCTTACATACCGGGAGCCTCAGAACCCCGAGTACCAACAGTTTGTTTCCAATTTGAAGGATGACGCACGGAACATGTTTAACTACAGCATGGACGACTCACTGGTCAGTATGTTGTCATGGAAACACAGCCAGCATCCATACAGTACAAGTTGAGCTTAGCATCCTGAGTGGTTGGCTATCCCTGAATGAAAGAATGAATGAAAGGATGGATGGATGATGGATGGATGGATGGATGATGGATGGATGGATGGATGATGGATGGATGGATGGATGGATGGATGGATGGATTGATGATGAATGGATGGATGGATGGATGGATGGATGGATGGATGGATGGATGGATGATGGATGAAGGCATGAATGAATTAATTTCTTATGGGTAGTGAAGTGGGGTGACGGATGGATGAGTGAATGAATTAATTGGCATGTGGATTGAGGGTTGGGGTGATGGATGGATGATGGATGGATGGATGGATGGATGGATGATGGATGGATGGATGGATGATGGATGGATGGATGATGGATGGATGATGGATGGATGGATGGATGATGGATGGATTGATGGAAGGATGATGGATGGATGAATGGATGGATGATGGATGGATGGATGGATGGATGATGGATGGATGGATGGATGGATGGATGGATGGATGATGGATGGATGGATGATGGATGGATGGATGGATGGATTGATGGAAGGATGATGGATGGATGGATGATGGATGGATGGAGGGATGGATTGATGGATGATGGATGGATGGATGGATGGATGATGGATGATGGATGGATGGATGGATGGATGGATTGATGGAAGGATGATGGATGGATGGATGGATGAATGGATGGATGGATGGATGGATGGATTGATGGATGGATGGATGGATGGATGATGATGGATGGATGGATGGATTGATGGAAGGATGATGGATGGATGATGGATGGATGGATGGATGGATGGATGGATGGATGGATTGATGGATGATGGATGAAGGCATGAATGAATTAATTTCTTATGGGTAGTGAAGTGAGGGGACGGATGGATGAGTGAATGAATTAATTGGCATGTGGATTGAGGGTTGGGGTGATGGATGGATGATGGATGGATGGATGGATGGATGGATGGATGGATGGATGGATGGATGATGGATGGATGGATGATGGATGATGGGTGAAATTAGTTTGATCAGGTGGTGACCCATCTCAGCATGTTTCTTACTGCAGCTCTGTAGGAACCAAGCAGAAGATGTTGTGATGTTTCTCTTGAACTCTGCCTCTCTGCTCTGCTTTAAACCATCTGACAGCCGGAGTCTCCCGTACCTCCTCCTCCTCCTCTAACTTCCTCTTATTTTCTCTGAAGATCCACAGATCCTAAACTTCTGTTTGGATCATTCTATATTATCCATCTCACTCAGCAGCTCCTTCCATAACTTTCATTTTCTGCAACACCAACATACTTGGTTATCCCCAGTTTGACCCCAGTTTGACCCCAGTCCACAGCTGGAGCCAGCTGTTTGCGGTCATCGTCTGATCCAATGGGAAGACTGATCTGATTGGACAGAAATAGAGGAAGAGATGTAATTAACCAGGAGCTAGCTGACGGTTTTAACAGCTGCTTCATGGAAATGTGTTTGAGCAGAGCAGCTTTATGGGAGCTAATTCAGTCTGTCGATCCTATCAGACGTGCACAAACTCCATGTTTCCGATGATGGATGATGCTGCTAACTGCTGCTGATTGTATCAACTGGATTAATACGAGCAGCAGGGAAGCAGCAGCAGGTGGAGAGACAATGGTCTGCACCATTAAGCTTAATGGAACACAGAAAGACATGGAAAACACTATTGGGAAGGAAAAAAAAAATATGGAAAACACCATCCAATAAAATACACAGATTAGAAATTAAATACCCATAAGGAATCCAAAAATAAAGAGGAACTCTTTGAAGAAAAAAATGGAAACATCTCTAAAGTACGTGTAAATGTAGCACATAGCTTAGCTTCATCTATGAGCTGGAGGTTTACTTTATTTATAGCAGGTCAGAGTTCAGGAGACAATTGGCTTCACATCTTAGGGAAAGAAACTGTTCCAGAGTCGACATGTTCTGGTTTTAATGTTCTGTAATCTTTTTCCAGATGAAAATGGGGCAAACGATGTTCTGCCTTCATGTTTCGGTTCTGCAGCACACCGACTGTCTCTTTCCTGGACTTGGGAAGCATAAACCAAGTCCAGATCCAGTATCCCATAATCCCCTGTGCTTTTATAATGACAGCGTCAGTCCTCCCTCTCGTCTACCGTCCAGCTCCCCTGACAGACGGAGACACAGCTTCCTTCATTTGTGTTTCTGTAGAAGTTTGCCGATGTGCTTTGGGCTGCAAAAAAGCATCTGTTGCTTTTCTCACCATTTATCTGCAGAAACAGAAGAAGACCTGAGCTAAAATACAGGAAAATCTGCCCAGTTAAAGAGCGTCCACCTCAGCTTCTAAAAAGATCCAAGTTCTCCTCTACATGTTCTCCACATAGGTTAGAGGTGTTTCAGCTCACACTAGCATCAGGTGTTTGGAACAGTTAAGTGTCTTTATGACTGTAGATCCCCGATGCTGCGTTTGCACCCTGATGGAAGTGGAAGCTCAGAGCTTTAATTCAGTTAGACGTTAACGGTGTCAGAGAAGAGAAGCGGCAGGTTAGTGAGGCCGGTTAATCAGCAGCAGACAGGCAGCAGAGGGAAGCTAATGCAGTTACCACCATCAGATGGCACGTCAGTGATCCCTGCAGAGAAACATGATCTATCGAAGCATCAGGAGCCAGCAGCAGGAGAGCAGCCATCAGGAAGAAGCTGCAGACAGAAAAATCTGCTGCTGTTTGGCTGGACATAGATTTCTGTCACTCAGTCAGTCCTTCTGTGTTTTTAGAGCTTCTTAAAGGAATAGTACACCCAAAACATGATCAGCCTTCATTTTCTACTCACCCCCATGCTGAACAACACTCTGGAGTACTTTTTTGATATCTCAAATGCATCTGGAGATCTGGGAGGCTTCTTGCTGTCTGCTGACATTCAAATAATGGAGGTTTATGGCGCCCGAGGCAGAAAGGTCCATAAAAGTCCACAAAAAACGTGTCAATATTCCTCCATACTGCTCGTCCAATGTATTCCAAGTGTCCTGAGTGGGTAGCATCCAGAATTTATTCGAAACAAAGTCATTTAGAATGTTTTTAGAGCATAAACAGTAGTGTATAGGACTTCCTGAAAGCGCGCTCCTGCGCGTTCACGAGTCTACGGAAACCGCGGCAGACCAAACCAGATGAAAGTGCGCATTCAGCTCGGCAAAGAACTCATGCTCTTCCTCAACACTGAAGTCCTCAGACATTTTTCTTTCGTTGTTTCTTTCTTTGCACAGGTAAACAGCACATTTCTTCTTCTACGCTTGCATTATTGGCAGAGCAGACGCTGAATGCGCACTTTCATCTGGTTTGGTCTGCCGCGGTTTCCGTAGACTGGTGAACGCGCTTTCAGGAAATCCTATACACTACTGTTTATGCTCTAAAAACATTCTAAATGACTTCGCTTCGAGTAAATTCTGGACGCTACCCACTCAGGACACTTGGAATACATTGGACGAGCAGTATGGAGGAATATTGACACGTTTTTTGTGGACTTTTATGGACCTTTCTGCCTCGGGCGCCATAGACCTCCATTATTTGAATGTCAGCAGACAGCAAGAAGCCTCCCAGATCTCCAGATGCCAAACCAAGCTTCTGCCGCCCTGGCGTCCTCTTCCACAACATCTTCGTCAATCATCTTCTTGCTTTTTTCTATGTCTGCTTCTGTCTCCTTGAACCCCAGTGGGCCTCAGCAGATGGCCGCTCACACTGAGCCTGGTTCTGCTGGAGGTTTCTTCCTGTTCAAAGGGAGTTTTTCCTCTCCACTGTCGCTACAAGCATGCTTAGTGTGAGGGATTGCTGAAGAGTCAATGAGTCGATGCAATCAGCTGGTTTTCCTTAGATAGAAAACTGAAATTTGTATCAATTTGACTGGATGATCTGGTTAAACTGTAAAGTGCCTTGAGATGACGTGTTGTTAATTTGGCGCTATATAAATAAACAGAATTGAATTGAAATAAAAAGATAATAACAGAAATATTATATTGATAGATCTACAAAAACAAAGCTGTAACAGTACCAAATTAAAGTCGGAACATTACGAGACTAAAGTTGTATTACAGTATAGTTGAAAATTTGCTAAATTAAACCCACAATATTACCAGAATAAAGTCATAACATGATGAGAGGAAAGTTGTAATATAAAAAAAGTAATCCCACATTACGAGGTCAAGTGAAAATGCTCCTCTCAGTTTGCGTTTTGGTGATCTATCTTGTTATCTCTATCAAAGATTTGGTCTCATTAAAACAACCTTTTTTTGTATATAATATCGTGACCTTCTATTTTCATAACGACTCCCTACTGGGACAGAACCTGATGAGGACGGATCCTCAAGTAGATGTGAAGCGGTTTTCTCGTTGGGATGACTTCCTGTTTGTGTTTTTTCCCAGATGAACATCATTGCTGGAGGATTTTATGACGGGGTCATGCTTTACGCTCACGCCCTCAATGAAACCATGTCGACTTCTGGAGTCCGACCCCCGGGTAAAAACGTCACAAAGAGGATGTGGAATCAAACCTTTAATGGTGAGTGACCAGATGTTCCTACCTGATTCCTCTATGATCCCATGACTGACCCCTTTCGCTTTGGTTGAGCACCTCATCAGCTTCAGGATCCTTTAAATCATAAACCAGGTTGAAGACATCAGATGAAAATCAGATGGTATCAGAGCTGGAGCTCTGCAGATTGGAGTGGTTTTAGCGTTCCTCTGGGCTCTATACTAGGAACTCAGGAGTTTATATTAACCTGAGAGGTCTGTCAGTTCTGTAAAGACTCTTTAAACCTGACTTTTAGAGCTTTGGATGGATCTTAGGATGTTCTCAGAGATCATTGACTCTTCTCATTCTCATTGACTCTTCAGCAATCCCTCACACTAGGCAAGGCAAGGCAAGGCAAGGCAAATTTATTTGTATAGCACAATTCAGTACAAAGACATTGCAAAATGCTTTACATGATTCAAATACAGGAAAATAAAACATAATCAAAGCAAGTAGGAAAAAAATAAATAAATAATAAATAAATAAAATAAAATAAAAAATGCAGAAACAAAAAAAGAATATTAATAACAGTTGGAAGTTTTTGTTAGATTACATTTATTTTTTTAATATTTTTTTTATTGAGAAGAAGAGGACTTTGTTTGAGCTAATTTTCCAGTATTTGATTTCTAATTATCTTTAAAGCTGTTAGCATTTGATCAAAAAATTTCTCCTTGGGCAGTTGACAATTCCCCAGAACCTTGCCTTTTGTTCTACTACCATAGAACTGCAAAACTCAGCATGCTTGTAGCGACAGTGGAGAGGAAAACACAGCCAGGCAGACAGGCTCCGAGCCAGCTCCCATGTCAGAGGATGAAGAGAGCACATCCAGTTAGTCACAGTCAGAGAAACAGGACTACACTGGAAAACAGGCCAAGCTCCAACATCTAGAAAGAAAGGTGTTGATGGCAGCAGCACAGCTGATATTTCTCTCCAGGATGGAGTCACAGCCAAATGTTAGGTTCTCTTTACATGTTTTCTTCTTTACGTCTGTTATTCTGTGTTTCAGCAGACGGGCACAGATTCTGAGCTCCATCATGGAGTCATTTTCATTCCTGGTGTCGACGTTTCTGATGTTCGGCTTGCTTTTAACTTACTGCCACTCAGGCTTTGGTCTTTCTTGCAAATTTATTTAAATTATTCCTGTTCTCGTTTTCTGCCTGAATTTTTAAAATGCGGCTGGAATTACTGCTTCTTTTAAGACGCGTCCATCCTTGAGACCCGCCATCCATCTATCCACCCATCCTTCAAAGTCTCAGGAAGGAGGGTTGGTACATCAGTCTGGCAGCTTCCTGCTGACCTCTTGTTTCCTGCCTTGAAAGCACCAGATCCAGACCAATGAGAAGGTCCTGCTATTTTCCTCTCCTTATCTCTCAGCTCATATTTGGAGCTGATGTCAGATATCCCCTACGCCTTGGCAGAATGTACAGTTTGTTCTGATCTGATATCAGCGCGGCAGGAAATAAAACTCATTAGTTTGCAGCGGCTGCTCTCGGATCAGAGAGGCGACGTTGTTCCCTGGTGAGCATGTTAGGTGCGTCATTAGCTCTGAAAGTTAACGGGCAGGTTTCCATCCGTATTCATGACGGAGGCTCTGGTCCAATCATTAATCCTGGTTCCCAGTAAAGAGGTGCTGCAGCAACGCCGCTGTCCATAATGAGCAGCACTGGGTCCTGATGAGACCCAGAATTAGACAGGTGTCAACAGGAATGTTTAGGCAGGAGTAAACGACAGTCTGGTGCAGCTTTTAATAATAAAACCACCAGAGATGCTGATCCAGACCTGGATCTGGAACATCATAGCGGTCTAAAGTGTTTGTTCAGCTGTAGGGTTAGGGCAGGCTCGGACCGGGAAGGATTTTTCGGCCCTGGGATTTTGCATTTTTTCATGGACCCCCAAAAAAAATTTCATAAACCACCTAAATATACGAAATCTCACCCAATTTGAACCAAAGTCTATTGATATCGGTTAAAAAAAAGAAATGTAACCGATAGACAGCCATCCTAAACTGCAAGATTGGGAAACATCCCAACCTGGCAACAATGCATATAAGACGGGAAACGTTAGCCTTTAGATGCAAAACCCCATCATGCACCGCAACATATTTAAGCAAAATATTCATAATACATACATAAATTCGGCAAATATAAGAGGAACATCGTACTTTGATTTAAGGAAAGCATTTTAGTTTTATTAGAATTTAGTTTGTTGCAAGAAATAGGATTTTACAGTTTGAAGAAATAGAAAATTACACCATATTCCAACCGTCACAAGGATGAGCATGACAAGAAAGGGCTATATATACTCCATGCATCGTTTAGGTAGTTAACATTGGATTACTTCTTGAGCTCCCTTGAGCTCCACTCTGTCACAGGTAGGAGCTTCGGCCGGAGAATAAGTGTTGGGACCGGTATGTTTTAAGCACATAATGCTTTTTCCTACCAGGGATCAGTGGCGCCTCCAGAAAGGTTTCATAGGGGTGGCCAGATGGGGCCACTAAAATCCTTGGGGTGGCCACTGAAACTAAAAGCCATAATTTCAGGGTTTGAATCTACTATTGTGGTAAACCTGCCTGTAGAAATCATAAAGACTAAAGTAAACACCTACTCAGATCTTGGTTTATTGTGGGATTTTTATTGTTATGTCGCTGGCTGTGCATAATGGGATTAAATGTTACACTGATGCTACTACAATTTACACTGGGTCCATCCAGGGAATTGGATCCCTCCATCCCTGGCACCACTGCCAGGGATGGAGGAAAAGTGTTGGTATTGTGTGGGGTTTTTTCCTTTCTGCAGAGCTCCTTCATTTTTCCAGCTGAAATTTTGAGCGTCGTCTTTATGCTGCAGGATCAGGTTCTGGATAAGCTTTCCTGCCTTGATACCAGCCGCAGAGATTCATTGATCAAAGTATTGTGCTTTAGAAGCAGATCTGACCTCTGACCTACAGCTAAAACCAGGGATAGTAGGCTCCTCAGATAAGGAGATCCTGCTGGACGAACCTTGTGATTCAGGCTGAATCTCCTCCTGCGCTGTTTGGAAATATCACAAGGATTTATTTTACCTTATTGGACTTTGTTCAACACATTCTTCCACTTTTTCTCTTTAGAGTTAAAGTTTATAGAGGTCAGGGGTCATCAATGTCCTGCTTTAACCTCTGACTCAAATGGGATGTTGGTATGTGGAAACACACATCCAGGGCCTGAAGCCCGGGGCTTGGGGGCCACGGCAGGAATTCTGTTCATGGACAGATAAAGCCGGGATCATCTTGGATGTTTTCAGGTTCATTCCCAGTGGAGATCAGTTTTCCCAGCAGGAAACAAAACCTGTTTACAGACAGAAACAGATGTCAAGCTTTCTGTTTCACCTAAAACCTGCTGAGTTCTGTTTCTCCTTCTTGAATAATTTAGTCTACATTAAGCCTTTATTTTGTATGGACACTTCCTTCTGTGAAAGGTGCACCATTTGCCCTCTAGCTGGTTCTGATGAGAGATTTTCTGTAAAACTTCCAAAGCCGACTGAGAGTGCAGAGTTCATCCAAACAAACAGAACCGGTCCAGCCAGAACATTCAAATAAAGCTGTTTACTTTGCTGCAGTTTGGTTGGTCTTTTATTTTGAAAAGGTCAGAGGTCCCAAACATAAGGATTGGAATTAGAGTAGCTTAAAGTAGTGGATTCTGTGATTCTTGAGTTTACATTCTTCTGTCGTTTGTCTGCAGAAGAACTGGATGCATTACCGGGATTCCTCTGCAGAAGACTGACTGCATGCAAAAAACAATAGATTTGATTTGATTTTTTCCAATACCACAGCCAGACTGCAGTAAATCAAAAGAAATCACATTTTCTCAAGGAAACAGGACGGTCAGAACATCCAGATGTTCAAAGCATTCACTAAGATGCAGCAAAAGACCTTGTTATCTACCACATGTACTTCTATATGTATATGTCTGCATCCGTTGATTGGTTACTGGGTCGTGTATTAAAGATTAAACATCAAAAGAACCAAATAAGGACCGAATAAAGTGTCTCTGTGCTCAGTGTTCTCATTCACATAATGATAAAAGTCCTGAGAACATCTGGAGGTAAAACAACCAAAGAGGAGGAGTCTGACTCATTTTAGAGAGGGGAAACCTGTTTGCTTCCATGATGCTATGAACATCCAGAACAATCTCCTGGGTATCGGATGCGGTGAAACCAGAGCCGTGTTCTGTTGGCCCGTCCCTTTTTGTCTCAGTGTCCCTCTGGTGTCACCGCATCTGAATCTGAGCAGCAGCGGAATGAGGGGAGATGGTTCTAGAGTTCCATGGACATGTCGCTGAGATAGAACCGGATTCTCCATGGCTCTCTTAGCCATCAAAACATTCCTCTCTTTTTGAAATGGTTCTGCTTCCTCTGCTTGAGCATGTTTTGCTTCCAAGATTCTGATCGGTTCTGAAAGGCTTTCCTGACCCAAAGATGCCAGGAGAAGCTAGATGATCATAATTCTGCTGCAGAACTGGACTCGTCTCTGATTAAAGTGTTCGACCTGCTTTGTGATCCGTCTCCCTGAGTCGACCTTTAGGAACCAGGATCATTTCAAGCTGTTTCCACCTGACAGCATCTAGGCCTGGAGCGGTTCAGAAGACCCGAGAAAGGTTCTGTCCATTCCTTCAACCGATGTGTTCTCTCTGAACTTTTCAAGACGATTTTTTTTCAGAAGTCAGCCCTGCAGAACCTTCTCACTCAGCATTTTTCTGGAAGATATCCAGAACACAGCAGAACACCATAGACGCAGACCCAGAGATGTGGTTCTGTCTCTGTTTTTAATCATAAACATAGGAGCAGATTGAAAATGAAACTGTGACCGTGGGCTGATTTCTTCCTGGTTCTGGGAATTTTGTTTTTTCCGGTCCAGTTGAAGAAGCTAATGAAGCTTCATAGAGTGACCAATGGTTCTGCTCATGGTTCTGTGGATTTTATCCGAATCAAAGAGATGAATCAAGCGAATCATCCTGAAGCTTCAGTCTGTTCCCATCAGATTCTGTCCTTTTTGTTTTGTTTCTCTTTTCATACATCATTCTGACCTGTAAAAATGAATCCATCATTCATCAGAAACACAACACCAGAACCGAGAGGTGTGAATGAGGACGAATAGAGGAGAACAGGACCAGGGGGGGTTGATGAAGGAGGAGTGGGGGAGGGCAGAAAGGAGATCAAATTCCAGCTTCCTGTCTGGTGCCTTTGGTTCATTTATCAATAGATGGTTCTGTATCTCAGGACTAAGGACAGAGCTGAAGCTTCAACTCTAACTAACAGGATCTCCTAATCAGAACCAGCAGAACTGGACTGAGGTGGTAAACCCAACTCAGTTTTTTTTGTTAAAAAAAAAGGAAATAAACAAGTTTAATAGCTGATTAAAGCTGGAAAACTGATAGTGTAAACATAACCATCCGTCCCAATAAACAGAAACGTTCTGATCCAAATTAATAATTAATCAATTAGCAACAAGATCTTATCAAGGAAATTAGCGCTGGCGCTACGAGGTTTTAACGAGGTAAGAGATGTTTATAAAGTGGGAGGTGTTAACGAACTAAGAGATGTTAAAAAGGTGGGAGGTGTTAACGAGCTAAGAGATGTTAATAAATTGAGAGGTGTTAACGAGCTAAGAGATGTTAAAAAAGTGGGAGGTGTTAACGAGCTAAGAGATGTTAATAAAGTGGGAGGTGTTAACGATCTAAGAGATGTTAATAAAGTGGGAGGTGTTAACGAGTTAAGAGATGTTAAAAAAGTGGGAAGTGTTAACGAGCTAAGAGATGTTAAAAAAGTGGGAGGTGTTAACGAGCTAAAAGATGTTAATAAAGTGGGAGGTGTTAACGAGCTAAAAGATGTTAATAAAGTGGGGGGTGTTAACGAGCTAAGAGATGTTAAAAAAGTGGGAGGTGTTAACGAGCTAAAAGATGTTAATAAAGTGGGAGGTGTTAACGAGCTAAAAGATGTTAATAAAGTGGGGGGTGTTAACGAGCTAAGAGATGTTAAAAAAGTGGGAGGTGATAACAAATAGTTTTTTGTCAGTGAGCTAAGAAGTGTTAATCAGCTAGGAGGTTTGAGAAAACTAAAGGGATTTTAATGAACCAGGAGGTATTAGGGACTTGATTACATTTTTCCAACACCAGAACCAGACTGCAGAAAATCTAAGAAATCACATCATCACCGGGAAACAGATCATCCAAATTTCTGAAATGATTCGTTAAAGACAACTAGATCCTACTAGATTCCCCCACAGGCCTGTGAAAGGTGAGAGTAAACAGTGGAGAAATTATTTCTGGACCATAATGGTCCTGGAGAATGGGCGGAACATGAAAAAAAACAGAAGTTTAGTGAGTGAATCAGTCTTTATAATAATGATCTGATAAGGAACAGCTGAGGAAGAGTACGGCTCACAGACTCTGAGAAAAACAGAATGTAGGAAATCTTTAAATCAGTGAAGGTGTCCTCCAACAATCAATTTGATCATTTTTGGCAAATGTGCGTTTTATTTTACTCACTATCATTTTATTAAGATCCTTTATACTCTCACTAGTTTTACTAGTATCACTTGTTTATAGTGTTTCATTCATATTCATAATATGAATGAATTCAAAATAGATCACAAGTAGAAATTGTAGAAATAGATTTTCACCCTTTTTGAGTCGATATTTCACTCCCTATTTTTGGTCAGTTGTTTGTTGCCCTACAGAAACAGGCCACTTCTGGCAGTTTCTCTCATTTAAATCACTGGACATCCTTTCCATCAGTGAGCGCCCCCTGCTGCAGGCAGGTAGGACCTGCAGGGTCGGCCTCAGGTGAGCTGAGCCGTCAGTGATTCACGGTCGGTTGTAAAACTCTCTGACCTTCACTTGTCTTTTAAAATGTTTTTATTTCACTTCATTCCTGGAAAGCACCACATCACTTCCCAGGAAAACACACGTGGCAGGTGTGGCAGGTGTGTGACCTAAGAGGTCATGTGAACTGTTATTCATTAAAATCTTTACACTCACAATGTGTTTCCTCCTCAGGGTCAGGTTTTCGGGGTTGGTTGGAGAGGGTTAGGATGACCTCAAACATCAGAGTGAACTTGGAGCATGAACAGCAGCATACGTGATGGTTGAATCGATCTGCATCATGCAGATCTATCGATCTATATAGCAAACGGGGCTTTACAAATGTAAAGTGAATATTGTTCCCTTTTTGTTGCAAAGAACACTTATTGGTAGAGCTCCTCTGCCTGAACAAGGCAATGTGGGGTGGTAGCTAACGACCCATGTAGATCCTCCTGTAACGTGAATCGTTCTGCAAATGTGCTGTTTTTCTGGACAATGTGGTTCATTCTGCTCCACATGGATCGTTTCGTTCTATGTGAATGGTTTTGTGTCATGTGGACTGTTATCTGACTTCAAATAAAATCATTTTTCAGTTCTTACACAACCTGGAGCATCATGGGTTCTGAGGTAAAAGGCAGTACTTTGTAATAGAATAGAATAGAATAGAAATGTCCTTTATTTCCCCCCATTGGTGGACAGTCAGATGTTTAGTGTTAGTTTGGACAGTGCATCCAGCAAAGGAACTGAATTTCCATTTCAAACAGATGTGGGGAGATTCCCAGAATGCAATGGTTCCAGTTGGATACGGTCAGCGCCGACAGTTTGGACTCTGCAGCATCGCTGATCTAATGAATCTGTGCTGATAGAAGATGATTGGGGCATTAACGTGTTCTGCCCTCCAACAAAATCAACGTTAACCCTGCTGCTGAGTCATTTGAGCCAACCTGTCTTTATGTTGCCGTGGCAACCAGCTGTCCTGGTTCTGATGGACCCTGTAATCTGGTGTAATGAACCTGTGACAGCTCCTTTCTGCTCCAGACTCAGTCGAGGTTGGTATGAAGCTCTCAGCAGGACCTGTCAGAAATAATTGGATCCTCTGAGGGTTCTTGAGGCAGAGCGGTAGATATCTCATCGGATCTTTGGTATAAACTGGGACTGAAGCAAAGGCTCTGTCCTCTGGTTCAAATAACATCTTCAGCTTCTTTCTCAAAAAGTGAGATTATGAAAACCTCTACCAGAGCGAAGCTCAGAGAGCTTTTGGGTTCAGCACTCAGTTTTTCTAACTATAAAAGACAAGGAGCTGTTCTTCAGGACACTTCGAGCCAGCTCCCATGTCAGAGGATGAAGAGAAAACATCCAGTTAGTCACAGCCAGAGAAACAGGACTACACTGGAAAACAGGCCGATCTCCAACATCTATAAACAAAGATATTTATTTTCTCATCTTTAGGTTTGTTGACCTTTCGCATTTCCACCTTTCTGCCACCATATAAACCTAGCTTCGTGAGACCATCCTGATCTTGCGAGCTTTCAAGGTTTCACTCGCAGATCAGTCTGGAGACTCTCCGTTAAAGAAAATTTGGAGCCGTTCACCAAACAAACGTCCAATCAGTGTTGGCTTTGAGGCGGGTTGAGGTGTGACGCAACGAGAAGCGCGACAGTTCAGTCTAAAGAACATGGCGGCTTCAGCCGATGAAACTAGCGTTAGCGTGGCTATCGAGCAAGTTTTATCGGAATTACAGAGTATTTCTTCACTGAAAGAAGAGCAAAACACTGCTCTGGAGGCTTTTCTCAGAGGAAAAGATGTTTTTGCTCTTCTCCCGACTGGTTTCGGCAAGAGTTTGATCTATCAATTGGCTCCTCTTCGTCATCGCTCTGTTAGTACGTCATATGCTTCGTTGATCTGATTTGTTTATTTGGCCCGTCTATCACCAACGTAGGCCAATCAGGCCCTTCCCAAAATTACTTCAACGGAAGGTTTCCAGATGGATATGCGGAGCAAATCCATCTGGCGGAGTCAGGTTAATGTAAACCATCCTTAATTACTAATGTAACAGATTACTGATGCTGATGTTTCCAGCTGTTACTCTCCAGGTCTAGAGTTAGATTTCTGTCTCGTCTGTCCTGTAAATCTTCCTTTTAATTACCCTATTAACCCGATCCAAGCTCAGAACTTTGAAACCCACCGAACATTTCAGCATCATGAACCAACAAGCTGAAACATTCCAGACCCACATCGTTTTCTTGAGCTGGATCGATCACAGCTACTGAAATCCGGCCGGAGCTCTGATCTTCAGCACAACCTGGTCTGAACCAACTGAGCTAATAAGTCTGATCTTTTGGTTTGTGCGTCCTCAGGTGTAACAGGGCCGGTCCAGCTGGATGAGAATGGGGACAGGGAAATGGACTTTGCTTTGTGGGACTTGATGGACACCAACAGCGGCGTCTACCAGGTAAACGCAGCATGGATAAATGAACTGGAACATTGTTCAGTCTATAGAGAAGAAGTCTGGTTCCCTGGCTCCCTGGTTCTTTTCGAACCAGGGAGCATCTAGATGACAGGATGGTTTCTAATGGGAACCAACTTGTTCCCATTAGAAAGCAAAACCTCGGACCAAGTCAGAGGATTCCTTAGAACGTGAGGCGCTGTAGATGAGGCAGTTTGGGTTGGTTCTGTTCCCCCGTAAAGGAGATAAACTCAGTGGTTCCTGTGTTCCCCCGCAGGTGGTTCTGTTCTACAACAGCTCCGAGGAGCACCTGATGCCTGTTCCTGGAGCAGCTGTGCACTGGCTGGATGGAAACAAACCTCTCGACGTTCCCGTCTGCGGATTCAAGAACGACAACCCAAAGTGCCTGACGAGTCAGTGAATGATCGGACCAAACACGGGTCCCAATGCAGCCATTCAGACCCTAGAACAGTAACATTAAAACAGAACCCAGAACAGCTGCTCTGAAGGAGAAACCGGTCCTGTTTGGCCCAAATACACCTTTATTCATTAAAGGAGAAATCTGGTCAGCAAGGAATAATCAATAGATCATTATTTATACCTAAAACTAATACATCCGCAGTGATTTCATTAATTTAGCGTAAATCAGTAAAAAAATAAAAACTATAGTTTTTGATCACTGAGTCTGGGAGCGGCCATTTTTGCCCAAATATAGTAACCCCTCCCTCCTGCCATCTTCCAGCAGTGACGTCACGGTGCGGTAAGCCTAGCGCCATTCTCCCAGCTTTACAAGCTAAATCAATGGGAACTACTAGACACATCTGCAATCAACAACAATTATTGAAGATTTCCAGAGGACTTCACCATTGAAATTCACCAGAGCTATAGTGAAACTGACAATGCCCACGTGCATGGCAGCTGGATGCTGGAATACATCGGGTAAAAGTGAAAAAAAGAGTTATTCCACCTTTCTGATTCCTGATCCTCCACGGACGGGTTGGTCGTTGGATCTCCAACTTGAAGAGGGAGGATTTGCCATCGAACTTCTGGCCAGAGAAAAAACCCGTAATATGTAGCCAACATTTGGAAGAAGAATGTTTTCAAGATGACTTGGATAATAGCGCGTTGTGACAAACACCAGATACAGCACTGGGACTTGATCAACAGCCGATACCGCACCGTGACGTCACTAACCAGTAGGTGGCAGTAGTGTTCTTTGACAAACATGGATGCCTCCAGTAAAGCACATTCACATGAAAATTACTCTGAATTAAAAACATTGATCATTTATTGAACAGGATGGAATCATTTCAGATTTAAAGAACTTTCAGAAGTTTGGATTCTGAATATGACCGGATTTTTCCTTTAAACAGAAGACTGATCCAAAGTCTGGAACCGACTGTCTGACACAGACGGATTCAGAAACTGTCCTCCAGAACCACTGCTCTGAAGTAAAAACTCACCTTCATAAAGTTTCCAGATACATGAACAGATCTGACATTAGCTACGGTTGATCCTCAGACTGTTCTCTCTGGACCAGAGGAGACATGTTCTGGAGGATTCTTATTGGATCTCAGCAGCAGAGTTGTGATTGGTGCCAAAAGTTCCAGAAAATAACTCCTGTTACTGGAGCTGGGTAAACCCATCGGTCTGTATGAGGCTAAATCTGAGCTCAATCTCTGGTTCAAAAATTTCAAAAGCAAGAGAATTTTTTGAGCTGCAATCACCAATAAAATAAAGGAGGAATGAAACATCCAGTGGTTCTGATAGATCAAATGCTTCTGTTGGACCCAATATTTCGGATGGTTCTGATTGACTCTCATACAGACAGGAAAACCCCAGCTCCAGTTTCTAATGAGCACAGAGGACAGACTATGGCCGTTTCTCAATTCACTAGAACATGAGTACGGACTTCTGTCTTCGCTGAGTATGTTCTTGAGAAGAAGACAGGAAATTCTGGACTCGGGGAGAACGGGACCACGCAGCATAAATATGGGTTACTGCTGGCGGGTTAACGTTAGCCCTGGTTACATCTGGCGGGCTAACGTTAGCCCTGGTTACTGCTGGCAGGCTAACGTTAGCCCTGGTTACTGCTGGCGGGTTAACGTTAGCCGTGGTTACTGCTGGCGGGCTAACGTTAGCCCTGGTTACCGCTGGCGGACTAACGTTAGCCCTGGTTGCTGCTGGCAGGCTAACGTTAGCCGTGGTTACTGCTGGCGGGCTAACGTTAGCCCTGGTTACCGCTGGCGGACTAACGTTAGCCCTGGTTGCTGCTGGCAGGCTAACGTTAGCCCTGGTTACTGCTGGCGGGCTAACGTTAGCCCTGGTTACTGCTGGCGGGTTAACGTTAGCTGTGGTTACTGCTGGCGGGTTAACGTTAGCCGTGGTTACTGCTGGCGGGTTAACGTTAGCCCTGGTTACCGCTGGCGGGCTAACGTTAGCCCTGGTTACTGCTGGCAGGCTAACGTTAGCCCTGGTTACTGCTGGCGGGTTAACGTTAACCCTGGTTACTGCTGGCGGGTTAACGTTAGCCCTGGTTACTGCTGGCAGGCTAACGTTAGCCCTGGTTACTGCTGGCGGGTTAACGTTAGCCCTGGTTACTGCTGGCAGGTTAACGTTAGCCCTGGTTACTGCTGGCAGGCTAACATTAGCCCTGGTTACTGCTGGCAGGATAACATTAGCCCTGGCTGCAGTTAGCCTCGGAGGTCTGCTGGTTGCCGCAGTCCTCTTAACATCGGAACTTTTTTCAATTCACGCCTTAAATCAGTAAATGGAACATATAGTGAAGCTTAAAGTAAAATGTTCTCGCCTCAAATGATCTTAAAAAGTACTTTTATAGAACAATAGCAACAGAAAAGATAACTTTTAATTTAACACTCTGAGCTCCGTGAGCACTAACCTGGAAGCTGCTGCTGCCGCAGTGCATGCTGGGACAGCTATCAATCTGGAGAACGGACAAGTCTGCTCTGATGCATGCTGGGTAAAGAGGGAGGGGTGAGAACAACATCCAGGGACTTTGTCCGTTCTCTGTCTTCTTGTTCTTGTGAGTTGGAACAGCACTAGGGCTGAGGTTGATGACGTTTCACAAGCGCATGAGAAAAACACAAGTACACATATTGAGAAACGGCCAAAGGCTGCAAAGGTTCTGACTTCATGTCATGTTCTAGGTTCTATGGACTCTTTTGGGTCAGCATTATAACAGTGAGTTCAGGGATCAGAGAAAACTTCTAGAACCGTTTAGAATCTGTGTCTCCCATAGAAACCATCACCATCCATCAGATGATCTCTATCGTGGTGTTCTTCATCCTCACCATGACGCTGACTGTCGCCAACTTCGTCTACAGGTGAGATCCGCTTCAGGCTCCCATCCAACGACAGCTACTATCTTCAGATTGGGTTTTTGGACTTTTGCTACAAAACAAACAAAAGTGACTAAAACTGGTCCGTATGCGACCTGTACCGCTCTTTTTATGGAAGACTGAACAGCTTGATCCCATTTTCTTCTCATCTTTTAGTCCTTTCTTCTGCTCTGCTAAAGGAGGTTATAGTAGTTCTCTTGTTTTCTTACTCCTTCGTATGAATGTGACTTTGTCATAGATTATAGAGTCCATTGTTCAACAGTTTAATCAGAAACCAACTGGCCTCTGCTTTTTAAGCTGGATTTATTGAAAATTTCTAGGAACAGTCACATCCTTATGCGGTAAGATGATTGTTTAAATTCATAAATGTAAAACGTGCATTTAGACATTTCATATTTGAAAATTAAACTTTAAAAGTTATGAATGCAAGTTAAAAAGTTAAACTTAGTAAAAACACAAATAATAAGTTTTAAGTACAAATTAAAAATGTATAAATAAGAAATCACAAATTTACACACAGAAACAGAATCATTGATCAAACTTATGCAGAGCCGTTGGGCCATTCAAAGACTACTATTTTTTGTTTGAAGTGGCATATTTACTACAATAAAGACCCAAATTTATGAAATTATAAATATTCGCATTTAGAAGGAAACAAGTAGCTAATGTACAAGAATAAATAGGCAAATTAACAAAAAAAAACATGCAAATTTACGAGATTATAAGGACGCAAATTTAGAAGAAAATGTAACAAATTTACAAAAATTAACATGTCAATATCAAATGAGAAAAACATGCAAATTGTTGAGATTATAAGCATGCGAATTTAGAAAAGATATGTAGCAAATTTACGAGAATAAACATATCAATTTATGAGAAAACATGCAAATTTAAGGCATTTTCAAAGAAAATGTAGCAAATTTGCCGAGAATGAACGTAAAAATTTATGAGCAAAAATTACGCACATTTATGAGATCCTAAGAATGCGAATTTAGAAAAAAAATGTGGCAAATAATGAGAATAAACATGTACATTTATGAGAAAAACATGCAAATTTCCAAGATTATAACATGAACATTTAGAAGAAAATGTAGAAAATTTCCGAAAATAAACATCTACATTTATGAAAAAAAAACATTTTACGGGAAGAAAAGCATGAGAATTTAGAAAAAAAAATTTAGCCAATTTACGAGAATAAACATGTACATTTAGTAGAAATGCAAATTTACGAGATTATAAGCATGCAAATTTAGAAAAATTTTTTTAGCAAATTAACAAGAGTAAATATATTATTTTCTGAAAAAAACACATGCAAATTTATGAGATTATAAACATGCGTCAAACCCCTTTGCGGTCCGGTCGTCTTTCATCTGTTAAAATGAATATGAGCCGTTTTCTACTGCAGGAGGATTAACCTGGAGAAGGAGCTGGTGGCGCAGCTTTGGAGGATCTCCTGGGATGACATCCATATGAGCAACATGGATAAGGTTCTACGGAGTGGCAGCAGGATTACACTGTCACTGGTGAGCAAACTCACTCACACCAATAAGAAACAATTCTTTAGAACAACAAGCAAGACGTTTGGAGTCAAAAACATCCTCCCAGCTTCCTGTGTGGCCAGCTTGCCGCATGGTGCAGGTACTTCCTAAAGGTCTGTAACTGCACAATCTGACCAACTTTCTACATCAAACTTGCCATGAGAGCAGCTTAATACCTAAAGCTCTCTGCTCTGAGAGGAACAGGAACCAGAACTATAAACCCAGACAGAAAAAGCTCAGGTAGTTCATTGTCATTCCGTTCCCCTGCTAACATAAAGCTCTCTGGTCGTTCCTCAGAGAGGCTCCAACTGCGGCTCCCTGATGACCGGAGACGGAAACCTCCAGATCTTTGCAAAGACCGGATACTACAAGGTGAGTTTTCATCTGCAGTGAGGATGAATGATGCGAGGAACATGGAATCATCTTCGATATCCTCTCAGCCTCTTTATCATACGTCCATGTCCCTTCATGTTGTCACATTTGACCAAAACTCTTGTTCCGCTTGAGGTCTGCGCGGGTTTGCAACCATTCGATGCAGAGTCAGGATTTTTTTTGATGTGCGTGACGACGGTTGCAGTACCCCTGAGTGCCACTCAGAGGAATCTCTACCTCTGCATGGCACCTCCACAGTTTTTCCTACTTGCTTTGATTCTGTTTTATCTTCCTGTATTTTAATCATGTTAAGCACTTTGTATTGTCTTTGTACTGAATTGTGCTATACAAATACATTTGCCTTGCCTTGCCTTGCCTTGGTGTCCAGGTTCGTCCATGGTTCTCAGGCTCCCAGCTTTATCCGTATGCTTAGCAGCTCAAACACAGGATCCCCACTGTGACTCGGCAGGATGGGTCAGCATCAGCTCCACACCTCAGGCAGACTAGATTGGCATCTCTGGAACAATAAGGCGAACTCCACTGACCGGTTCGAAGCCCCTCGGGTATTTTAAGAAGGATTCTGAAGAAGAGCTGCTCAGATTGTTGGAAGCCTCAGCAGATTGGACTTCTTAGCTTAGTCCCACTCTGTAGATCTTCCCTTAATATTTCCGCTGTCTTCGTTCTTTTTCTCCAATGTAAAGATGCTTTCTGCATCCTTCTCAGCAGGTTTTCTGTCTGCTCTTCCTTACAGGGGAACATCGTGGCCATAAAATACTCAAACAAGAAGCGGATCGAGCTCAACCGAACGGTCCTGTTTGAGCTCAAACACGTGAGTTAACCAGTCAAATCTGATCCGTGTGCTTCACCGCGAGGCGGGAGACCTTCTCAGATCTAAACGTTAGGTCAATTTCTAGCTCTAGGAGAATGTTCCGGAACATGTTTGAATAAAATGTTGTTTTGTTCAGATGAGAGATGTTCAGAACGAACACCTGACTCGGTTCATCGGAGCGTGCATCGACTCGCCAAACATCTGCGTCATCACAGAGTACTGCCCCCGAGGCAGCCTGCCGGTGAGCGTGTCCGCCTGTCCGCTTTCTGTCCATTTACCATATTTTCTGGACTATAGAGCGCACCAAGTACATTAAGCCACACCCACTACATTTAAAAAAAAAAATGAATTACATAAATAATCCGCACCGGGCTATAAGCTGCTGATATCTATTGAATTGTCTCCCACCAAACCTGTAGGGGGAGCTCTACATATAGTCCCTGGAGTAGGGGCTAAGAAGAATGCTAGCTCCTGTTAGCTTGTTAGCTCGCAGCAGTAAGAGCTTCAACTGAAAAATGGGGCTTCGACAGGAGTTGATCCCAGTCTCTTCATTGGTTCGGCAGCTTTAATGCGGCAAATTCACGTCAAACTATGTGAATTCGGGAAATTTGTTCTCCGTTGCTAGCATGGTCTAACCTGACTCCGCCAGATGGATTTGCTTCACATATCCATCTGGAAACCTTCCGTTGAAGTAATTTTGGGAAGGGGCGAAAATACTGGTTAGCTGATTGGCCTATGTTGGTGATAGACGGGCAAAATAAACCAATCAGATCAACGAAGCATATGACGTACTAACAGAGCGACAACGAAAACACAACCACAAGCCAGGCTACTCTTGCCGAAACCAGCCGGGAGAAGAGCAAAAACATCTTTTCCTCTGAGAAAAACCTCCAGAGCAGTGTTTTGCTCTTCTTTCAGTGAAGAAATACTCTGTAATTCCGATAAAACTTGCTCTATAGCCACGCTAATGCTAGTTTCATCGGCTGAAGCCGCCATGTTCTTTAGACTGAACTGTCGCGCTTCTCGCTGCGTCACACCTCAACCCGCCTCAAAGCCAACGCTGATTGGACGTTCGTTTGGTGAACGGCTCCAAATTTTCTTCAACGTAGAGTCTCCAGACTGATTAGCGAGTGAAATCTGGAAAGCTCGCAAGATCAGGATGGTCTCCCGAGGCTAAGCATGGTCTTGTGCTAAATGGAAATTAGCCCCTTATTCTTTCATTTCCAAATTTGACCTCCCCTTCTGGTGGTTAGGAAAAAATCTACAAAAAAGTCGCACCTTCTCATAAGTCGCATCGTTCAAAGGGTGGGAAAAAAGTAGGGGCTTGTAGTCCAGAAAATACGGTGACTGTTTTTCTATCTGCTTTCCTGACCTTTCGTCTCCTTGTCTTCAGGACATCCTGGAGAACGACAGCATCACTCTGGACTGGATGTTTAAGTATTCCCTCATCAATGACATTGTAAAGGTGAGCTCTGTCTTTCCTTGAACCCTCCTGTCTCCTCCTACAGGAGAGGAACAGTCAGTCAGTCCTCGTCTCTTTTTGTGTCTTCAGGGCATGGTGTTCCTTCACAACAGTGTCATCGTTTCGCACGGCAAACTGAAATCGTCAAATTGTGTCGTGGACAACCGCTTTGTCCTCAAGATTACCGACTATGGACTGTCCAGCTTTAGATCGGATCTGGACTCAGGAAGCGACGCTCATGCCTACTACGCCCGTGAGTCTTCCATCGTCTCCGTCAGGGATGATGGTTACCGTGGAAACAGAGCAAACCTGAAAACCGACCCGTAGATGAAAGAAGAGTTAAAACATCCAACTTGTTTATTTAATTCTTTTTTTCTTTTGTTTTGCAGAAAAGCTGTGGGTTGCTCCAGAGCTGCTACGGATGGAGTCTCCTCCTCCCCAGGGAACTCAAAAAGGAGACGTCTACAGTTTCGGGATCATCCTCCAGGAGGTTGCCCTGCGTCGAGGAGCCTTTTACCTGGAGGGCGAGTTACTGAGCTCCAAAGGTGAATTAGAGAAGGTCCAGGACAGGGTCAGGAAACCAAAGGACATTAGGATAAAGGTTCTTTCCGTTCTTGTTCAGTTCGAAAAAAAAAAAAAAAAACAGAGCAACAAAAAACAGCCAGGTTTTCTGTTTCTGCAGCAAAGACGAATCCGCTGCCAGTATTCCCTGATTTTCACCCGTTCTGCTTCCTGGTTTTAGTGTCAGTGTCCCGGTGTGTCTGCAGAAATCGTGGACCGGGTGATTCTGGGGGAGTGGCCCTGCCTGAGGCCCACCATCGACCCGCAGTGTCACAGCCCTGAGCTGGGTCAGCTCATGCAGCGCTGTTGGGCCGAAGAGCCGACGGAGAGACCCGACTTCAACCACATCCGCCTGCTGCTGCGCAAACACAACAAGTGAGTCGTCTGAAGGCACTGCGGAAAAACAGGTCAACATTCCAGTGAATCCATTCCAGTTTGGTCCCAGTTAGCAAGCCGAGTTTTTTTTTTTTTTTTTTTTTTTAGGTTCGGTCATCTCGAGGCGGTGTCCTGTATGGGGCGCCGTTTGTAAAGTTAAGCAGTCAAAGATTAGGAGCAATCTTTATAGTTATTTAGCGTGTTTTAAGAAAAAAATAAGGGGTTTATTTTTTTCAAGTCATTTTTTTCACTGTCATTCATTCATTTATAAAAATCTTACTAAATATTTAGTTTTTAAAATAGACATTTATCTCCAAACTAAATATTTTGTTTCCAGATTAAATATTTAGTTTGTTAAATAAATATTTGGCTCCAAATTAAATTTAGCGAAAATGCGAATTCACTTCCTGAAAAACGGAAGTCAACTACCAAAGTAAAAGCCTGGGAATCTCTTAACGACTCCGACGGCGTCTTCGTCACACTGACAGAAAATCACGAGTTAGTATATGAAAAAAAACGTAATAAATTCTAAAATAGAAAGTCCTCTTTGAAATAGTTTTATTTGACCGTGTACTTTTGTTTCAAGAAATGAGCAAATGTTTAATGTTCTGTTAACCTGCAGCTCAGAGCTACAGCCACACATGGGGGCATCGCTGTGTTGCCATAGCAACGACTGCTTTCCTTTCCACTGCTGCCAGTGGAAGGCAGTGAGACTTCTTTGGGAGGGACACTCGATAGTTAACCCTTTAAAGCGTGATCCAAGAATAAAACAAAACAGAAAATAACTTTTTTTGGTTTGAATTCCTTATTTGTCCTTTTAACAAAATATGTAAAAAGAAAAAACAGATATATATTTTTGATATTAATAATTTATGACTATGCGATAAGTCTTCTACTGGCTGTTTCAGGTATATCTGATTGTGTACAATAGGATTTTGAGCAAAGTTTTTACCATTAAATTATGCAAAAGGTGTCAGATGCAAAATATTTCAGAAACCGTATGTATCAAATAAGATACATTTGGCATTACAGGGTTAAGGGTTAGTGCTTAGAGGGTGGTTTGGGAAATTAGGCGACGACAAATAGCCTCGTGAGACCATCCTGATCTTGCGAGCTTTCAAGGTTTCACTCGCAGATCAGTCTGGAGACTCTCCATTAAAGAAAATTTGGAGCCGTTCACCAAACGAACGTCCAATCAGTGTTGGCTTTGAGGAAGGTTGAGGTGTGACGCAACGAGAAGCGCGACAGTTCAGTCTAAAGAACATGGCGGCTTCAGCCGATAAAACTAGCGTTAGCGTGGCTATCGAGCAAGTTTTATCGGAATTACAGAGTATTTCTTCACCGAAAGATGAACAAAACACCTCTCTGGAGGCTTTTCTCAGAGGAAAATATGTTTTTGCTCTTCTCCCGACTGGTTTCGCCAAGAGTTAGCCTGGCTGTTAGTACATTATATGCTTCGTTGATCTGATTGGTTTATTTGGCCCGTCTATCACCAACATAGGCCAATCAGCTAACCAGTATTTTCGCCCCTTCCCAAAATTACTTCAACGGAAGGTTTCCAGATGGATATGCGGATCCATCTGGTGGAGTCAGGTTAGACGACAAAGTGACTAAACAGAAATCAGACTCTCGTCTTTAGCCATAGGACTTGTATAGAGATTCCCAGGCTTTTAATTTGGTAGTTCACTTCCGCTTTTCGGCAAGTTAATTTGCATATTCGCCTAATATTTAGCTAGCACCAAGCTAGCTAAATATTAGGTTGTTAAATAAATATTTAATTTGGAGGTAAACTAAAACTAAATATTTATTTAACAAAGTAAGATTTTTTATAAATAAATGAATGACATATTGAAAAAATGGCTTGCTCCTAATTTTTGACTACTTAACTGTAGCGGCCCCTCGGATTTATTGATCAGACGCAGAGAGTTTCAAACGGGTGTTGGTCTATTTTGTTTTCTCTGAACGAACACCATGCACTACACCATGAACACCGTGAAAACTAGAAAGAAAAAAACAACAAAAAAACAGAAGAAATACAAAATACTTCTCTGTAGTTTCACAAATAACTAACACATAAATCATGTTCAAATCTTTTCATACCTCATTCCGCTCTCCAAGGGCGCTAATCAAAGTTTCTTCCATCCGCTAGCATGCTCGCTAGCTAGACACGCTCGCACAGCTCGGAGCTCTTACAAATAAAAGGTACGATATACAAATATAATAAATGAAATCACTATTCAAATCTTACTTTACAGGATTCGAACAGATGAACACGATAAATATAATGTACTTTTAAAGTTTTACCATTTCTCTCACCATGAGTGAGCGCGGCACCGTGACGACAGTGTCAGGATGTTTAACGTCACAAAAACATCAGAAGAAGAGAGTGCTCTTCAAAATAAAAGCAGCACAAACCAAAATGAATCACTGTAGAACCACAATGTTTTGTTAACACATAAATAATACTATGTAGGAGAATATAAATGCCATTTTATCAGACATTTACATTAACTTTACAAACGGCGCCCCGCAGGCCTGAACATGCTGTGGGCTTTGTTAATTGGTGAAACTTTTAGGAAAAACCTCGTCTGATTTGGAGAGATGGAATCCATCCCGCTCTGGATAGTGCAGCTTTACTTTTAAGATTTATGGCCAAATTTGTTAGTTCTTCAAACTAAAAGCCCAGGATCCAGACCAGAAGGTAGCATCGTAGTTTAACAGGCCTCTCTCCGGCTCCTTTACTGTTATCCACCTCATAGCTCATTCAGAGGGTGTATTTCCAGGGAAAACGTTAGAAAGGGGGCATTGTTGGCCTACTGGTTGGACTGCTTCAAATCAGCTGCTTCAATTAGCTTTCTGTTATGTTAGAGTCCACACCAACCAGACTGAACCTAGCACTGAACCCTGTGGCACCCCACAAGTAACCCCGGTAAAAAAGTTTACATAAACAAGATAAATAAGATTGAAACCAGGTTAGTGTTGTTAGTCAAATCCCTACAGCTGGAAAAAATTATGAACAGGTGAAGCCGGGCGTACACTGTGCGAAATTTTCAATCATTTCACGCAGCTACAGCTCAAACTGTACGACGAAACCGCAGGGTTTCCACACAGCTCACGATGTTTGTTCTCATACTGTGCGACCCGACGCTCTGATGCGATCTTACAACGGCCGGCTGAATTTGTGTTTAGTTATCTCCCGACCTTATGATTCCTGATCGGGAGGTGATCGTGAAAAGCTGATCGGCCCTCGTTACCCGCTGTACACTACATGATCAGGCTGAAAGTCAGCCCGATCGAAAAATTCTTTAGAGAAAAAGGGCAAAAAATGGTACAGTATATACCCGGCTTTGTCTGAGGCCATGAGAATATCATTAGTGACTTTCAGCAGAGCTTTTTTAGTGCTATGACGAGCTCTAAAACCTGATTGAAACTCTCCAAAAAGGTCATTGTGGTGTAAACGCTGCAACGATCCATCAATTTTCCAATAAGTTTATACCAAGCTGAGGTTGCGAAGGGTTCTGGTACTCTGAAACCAGATTAAAATTTTATTTTGTCAAAGTAAAACTTAATTACAGCTGCCTCAAAAGCCTGGGCAGTTCTAGACAGGGGGCAGCAAACCTCTAGAAGTGGCCCCAGCCCTGTTAACTTGGTATGTTTGGTGTCTAGAGAGTCCAGGAAAAACATTTTGGACAACCTGCTGTCCCGCATGGAGCAGTACGCCAACAACCTGGAGGAACTGGTGGAGGAACGAACCCAGGCCTACCATGAAGAAAAACGCAAGGCTGAGGCCCTGCTCTACCAGATAATACCACAGTTAGTACTATGCTTCTACAGTGCTCTACCAGATACTACCACCGTTAGTACTATGCTTCTATTGTACTCTACTAGATACCACCACAGTTAGTACTATGCTTCTATTGTGCTCTACCAGATACTACCACAGTTAGTACTATGCTTCTACAGTACTCTGCCAGATACTACCACACTCAGTACTATGCTTCTATTGTACTCTACTAGATACCACCACAGTTAGTACTATGCTTCTATTGTGCTCTACCAGATACTACCACAGTTAGTACTATGCTTCTACAGTACTCTGCCAGATACTACCACCGTTAGTACTATGCTTCTATAGTACTCTACCAGATACTACCAGTCAGTATTATGCTTCTATTGTACTCTACCAGATACTACCACAGTTAGTACTATGATTCTGCAGTACTCTACCAGATACTACCATAGTTAGTACTATACTTCTATAGTACTCTACCAGATACTACCACAGTCCGTACTATGATTCGACAGTACTCTACCAGATACTACCAAATAGTACTATGATTCTGCAGTACTCTACCAGATACTACCACAGTCAGTACTATGATTTTACAGTACTCCACCAGATACTACTACAGTTGATAGTACTGATCCCATGCCTTTTGCTTCTCCTGCAGCTCCGTGGCAGAGCAGTTGAAGCGCGGCGAGACGGTTCAAGCTGAAGCCTTCGACTCGGTCACCATCTACTTCAGTGACATCGTCGGTTTTACCGCCCTTTCTGCAGAGAGCACGCCCATGGAGGTCATTACCCAAGTCTTACACCTCCTAACTTCTGATTTAAACAGGAAACAAGTAGAAGAGTTGTACTCCTAATCACTTCTTCGCTAACAATAGGGTACTTGCTAATTCCAAACAAAGTTAAAAAACAATCCTCTGGACTTTGTTTCCAAGTTTGAAGACGTTTCTCTTCCCATCCAGGAAGCTTTTTCCATTCAAAATGTCAGAAATGGCGTTGAGTTCCAGGCTGTTCTTAGAGCAGCTAATGTACCACCAGAGCTAACAGTGAGGAGCCGTGGGCGCTCACCCAGTTTTGTTCTAAAATTTTTCCAACTTCATAGAAAGTTATATGTTGGATTTATTGATTAGATTGTATTGTAGTTACGTTGTCATTGAGCCCTCTGGTGCATTGACACCCTATGTACATGTTCAGAGCAGGTTAGCTAAAGTGCCCGGGTTTTTAAAGACCAACAAAAAAGACCACATTCCCAACAAAGTCTACTTAATTTAGAATGTGGTCTGAAAAGAAACATTAGCTGGAGAGAGGGCAAAGACAAGGAGCTGCGGGTCAGGACTCAAACCCGGGGCGGCCTTGTCGAGGTCAAAGTCCTCCATTCATCGGTGAGCCGTTCCACCACTGTGCCACCGCCGTGCCTTACTTATGGTTGAAGCAGCTGTTTCTGAAACATGAATACTGTTTATATTTAGTCTACTTAATCTGGAGCCTGAATAGAATTTTGTGTGTCTGCAGGTGGTGACTCTCCTCAACGACCTTTACACCTGTTTTGATGCCATCATAGACAACTTCGACGTTTATAAGGTAACAACTGTTGCAGCTGTTAGGGTCAAGATTAGCAGAGGAGCGAGGTTAAAGGTATCGAGCTGCTGTGATCACGACAAACACAGCATGGAAACCGTTAACCCAGAGTTGCACCCCCAGGTGGAGACCATTGGCGACGCCTACATGGTGGTCTCAGGGCTGCCGGTGAGAAACGGGAAGCTGCACGGCAGGGAGATCGCCCGCATGGCGCTGGCGCTGCTGGGCGCCGTCCGAACGTTTAAGATCCGACACCGACCGGAGCAGCAGCTAAAGCTGAGGATCGGCATACACAGTGGTAAGGAAACTGCAGCACCCCCTAGTGGCGAGAGGGAGATGAAAAAAATTTTGAAAATACTGTGCAAAATTTATAAATTGCTTATCAATATTTTGGGAAATGATTTTTCTGTTTTATTTTGATCTTGTGTTCTTTATGTAATAGAGAACTGCTCAATAACATTTACATAGTATAATGTACTTATTTCCTTGAGGTTTGCATAGAAGGATTTTGGACAATAAAGTAGTGAATCTCAATGTAATTACTTATTTATTTTATTTTAAATAGCCCTATAGGCTCATACGTCCTTAGTCCAAAAAAACAAAAACAATTTCACAGCACCCCCTGTTCAAAAGTACTTCCAACGGCCCAGAGTTTCTGAGATTTCCCTGGATTCAGTTTGGGAATCCTGGAAAGGCTTCCAGGCTGAAGGAAGTTCAGGCTAAGATGATAATTCCTGATCTTCTTCCAATTTCAATCATTTATAAACCATTAAAGATCCTCAGAGGAAGAAGAATTAGTTTCCATCTTTGCTCAGTCCCAGTTTTCAGTCTTCTCCTCTTAATGAAGGTTTAAACAGGACAGGAACCGACGTTCCACCCTCAGAACAGACGGGATCTCCTCATTTCTCCGTGTCTGTGTGTGCAGGGCCCGTGTGTGCAGGAGTGGTGGGTCTGAAGATGCCTCGTTACTGTCTGTTCGGAGACACCGTCAACACGTCCTCACGGATGGAGTCCACTGGAGAAGGTGAGAGCTGCTGTTCCTGATGCCAGTGGTGCTGCTGCCCCCTGCTGGTCAGAAAAGCTGCCAAATACATGACCCAAGGGAATGGACTTCATCCAATCAGCATCCACTTAAAAGTCTGATGGTAGAAGAAACCTTACCTGTATTGTCCATGGGCTTCAGACAAATCACCTGACAGAACAAGCTCAGGATGACCAGCAGATAAAAGAATAATTAAAGTTTCCCAGGTCTCTACAATATCATCTTAGTTTTTTTTCACATTGAGCTCTAGATAGTTATCATCACAATATTTCACAAATTGTGAAAAGATCTGATTGAGACCCTAGAAGATGTTTCTGTTTTATTCAATTCAGTTCAGTTTATTTATATAGCATCATCTCAAAGCTCAAAGTTTCTGTCTAAGGAAAACCAGTTAATTGCATCGACTTCTTGGCTGGACAGCAATCCCTAAGAATGCTTGTAGTGACAGTGGAAAGGAAAAACTCCCGTTGAACAGGAAGAAACCTCCAGCAGAACGAGGCTCAGTGCGAGCGGCCATCTGCTGAGGCCCACTGGGGTTCAAGGAGACAGAAGCAGACATACAGGAAGAACACAGAAGCGCTGACCTATAAATATTTTCCATGTTAGAGAAGCTAACGGTAAACTGGCTCCACAGGTGGCTCTGTCTGGGAAGGAAACAATTAAACAGACGAGCCCTGAACTAGTTTTCAAGTCTGATCCAGTTAGTCACAGCTGAGCCCATAGCTATAGGAGAGAAACAGGACTAAACACTGAAAAACTATCTGAGGCGGAGGTCTTTACCAGGGGGTCTGCAACCCCTAAGGGGTCCACGGAGGTACTGCATGGGGGTCACGAAAGTTTTGGTTAATTACTCTTTTTTTTTTTTTTTATATTAATTCCCTCCTGCAATTTTTCCATTAATTGAAATGTCTTTAAATCCACATTAACATGAATCCAACAGACTGTAGTAAACAGATAAATGGAGGCAGAAGATGTCTTTCAGTCATCAATGCTCACATTCAGCGACACACAGGAGCTCTTTCAAGCTGGGCACCGTTTCATTCACAACACCTGTCCCATCAACCAGGAATCAGAAATACTTTAATAATCCCAGGGAGGGATTACTTTAGTTACATTACTCCATCTGTAATAGAGGGACTATAGGACCAGTTTGATAGAACACTATTTCATACAATATATATATAATAATTAGGGGGCCCCGCTCCATCTCACCATCAGTTTGGGGCCCTTGGCCTGGAAAACGTGAAAGACCCCCTGCTCTAAGGTTATGATGGTAGCAGCACAGCTGATATTTCTCGCTGTTCTCCTGCAGTTCTCTGGAAATCTGCCTGTAAAGGTTAATTTTATAAAGTGGGACCTGGGGACCGAACATTTGGCCCCAGGTCCAGTTCCCAGTTTGATTCTGGTTCTGAGTTGAATCCCGTAATGGAGGAATCACACATTAGAACATTCAGACTGAAACCACTTAGATTATCTCCACAGATTAGAGTCGGCCTCAAACGGGTTACCTCACCTCACTCCAAACCAGATATTTTTACAAGAATTCATGAAAAGAAGTTCTGGACCGGAACCGGTACCAGCAGCCGGGCTAACGGTGATCTATGTTTCTGTTCCTGCAGCGCTGAAGATCCATGTATCGGCGGCGACCAGAGACGTCCTGATGGACTTCAACTGCTTCCAGCTGGAGCTCCGGGGAACCATCGACATCAAAGGGAAAGGAAAGATGACCACCTATTGGCTGCTGGGAGAGAGCTGCAGCCAATGAGAGCGCACATCGGACGGAGGAGGTCGGTCGTTTCCCTGCTGTGTTTCCAATGGAGGATTTGAGGAAAAGCAGCAGAGTTCAAGGAGAAATGTCCTGCTTCTGGTTCTGTCTGAGGAACATAGACTCTGAGATGTGAGGAGGCTCAGATGGAGGCGAAGGATCAGACAGGAGCACAGCTTCCTGTGTGAACATCATAATCTGGATTAATCCGTCATCTCCTATCGGACAGAACCAGAATGTTTCTGCAGACTCAGCTGATTCTGCTCTGATTGAGTTTGGAGTAGAAAAGTCAATCTGGAACATTTGGAAAGCCTGCAGCGGGTCAGCAAGACCTGGACCTCAAACTGGTTTGGTTCAGGAGCGGGACGTCCAGGAACGACACGTAACAAAGTCCCAGGAAAAGGGTTCAGACCGTAACCGAGTCCACGGGACAACTCCGAAAACCTTAGGAAGTCTGGAGAACTGCTGACCCAGACCCCTACAGGAAGAAAAAAAATCAGCACTGGACTAAACTCTGGATCCGGACTCTGGTTCAGGACGCACCGGATCTGGACTCTGGATCAGGACTCTGTATCTGGATTCTGGATCCGGACTCTGGATCAGGACACTGGATCCGGACTCTGTATCTGGATTCTGGATCCGGACTCTGGATCAGGACACTGGATCCGGACTCTGGATCTGGACTCTGGATCAGGAATCTGGAGCTGGACTTTGGATCTCAACTCTGGATCAGGACTCTGTATCTGGACTTTGGATCAGGACACTGGATATGGATTCTGGATCCGGACACTGGATTAGGAGACTGGATCCGGACTCTGGATTCTTGACTCTGGATCTAGACTCTGGATCTGGACACTGGATTCTGGATCCGGACTCTGGATCAGGACACTGGATCCGGACTCTGGATTCTTGACTCTGGATCTGGACTCTGGATCAGGAATCTGGAGCTGGACTTTGGATCTCAACTCTGGATCAGGACACTGGATCCGGACACTGGATTAGGAGACTGGATCCGGACTCTGGATTCTTGACTCTGGATCTAGACTCTGGATCTGGATTTGGAACCAGTACTCTGGATCTGGAGTCTGGATAAGGACCCTGGATCCAGACTCTGGATTAGGACTCTGGATCAGGAGACTGGATCCAGGACTCTGGATTCTGGATCAGGGCTCTGAATCAGGAATCTGGAACCAGATGTGTTAAATCATGCAGTCTGAACCCTGGAGGTTCAGGATGTGTTTTGGAGAATCTATCAGGTTAGTTTTAGTGTTTGTGGTTCGGTGTTTGACTCTGTAGTCAGATTTCTCCTCGCAGCAGCAAATCTTCTCCCCCTGTTCTCAAATGTAGCTCCATCATTCCCAGTTAGAAGCTCTGGCTGGGACTAACTGGGCTGCAGGTCTATGGAGTGAATTTGTTCCGTTATTGTTGCATATAACGTATTATTCAAGTATTCTATATTGTTTTACTTTGGTTCTTTTCAAACTTCCTTTAATGGATCAGATTCTGTTCATTTCAACATGAACGCTCAGTCTTGACGTGCATATTGACCAGCAATGTCCAGCCGACCAATAGAAATGCATCTTTGTTAAAATTATGATTTTTTTTTTATTTACTCATTTTTTTAACAGGGACAAGTATGTTTTATGAATCATGTCACACACTACAGCATTTTAGCTAAGGCTAATTCTCAATGCCTGTCCCCAGTTAGGCTTTTACACAAAACACAGTGACTGCAAACAAGAAACAACAGAACAAATTACACACAAAAACACACAGATACAAGATCAGGTCAGTTAGATTATTAATGATTATTAATGATCTGCTAAACGCATTCAGAAAAGAATGCAATTTGTAAAACTGAATCTAAAAAAACAGAAATATGATTTAATGAATAAAATCCGTAAAAATTATCTCTACATTTTTTTTTTAAATTGAAGATATTTTTATTTATTTATTATTTTTTTTATTTGAATTTATATAAGGTGTTCTTTGCTTGAACAATACTGGAAAAAAATTCACCCCATAGGGCTCTAATGCAGCTCTTTACTGCCTCCCAGTGGCTGAAGGCAGAAAGTTTCCAATGGTTTCTGGGAACAGGTGAAACCTGCAGCTGTGTTTCTCTCAGTGGCCACAAGGGGGAGCAGAGAGCTGGTGGAACCAGAAGCAATAGTTTAGTTTTTCTCTGAAGTGTTTCCATGCAGAAACGGTTCAGTAATAAAGTGTCTTAGAACTTTGCCAGAAGCCGCTCTGCACTCGTTTCTCTGTACATATGTGTTTTAAAGAAAAAAATGACCCGATGGGTCCGAGTCTTGGTGATCTTTAGGGGTCACAGCAGTTCCAGGCAGATCCTATTCAAGCTTCAAAGCTTCATTATTAATCCTCAGCAGTAGTTTTTCCTGTTCAGCCCGTTTAAGTGAAAATTATGAAGGAATAATTTTTCTCAGTTAGAAATCAGGATCAGCAAAAATGTATCTTCACTCCTGATCGGGCGAAGTGATGCCTAGAGTCTGCTTTAATTTGGTTTTAGCCATTAAAGGTCAAACATAAGAAGCAGCCGGCACCATTAGAAAGATCAGAATAGAAAATGCCCTTATTGTCCCAAAATGGGGAGATTTATAGCAGCAAATGGTTATAGTAGAAGTGGTCACACAATGTGCACCTTAGTAAAGGTACTGTACAGTGTTTTTACAATAGAAATACTCTGTATCTGGAAAATAAAGAAAAATCAATATACAGCTGTGGACATTACAGTAATTGTTTATTTATTGTATTTAACCAGGAAAAAAAGTGAGAGTAAAACCCTCTTTTTCAAGGGAGTCCTGGCCAAGAGGCAGCAAAGTTACATAAGAAACAGAGATACATTAAAGGAATAGTACACCCAAAACATGATTAGCCTTCATTTTCTACTCACCCCCATGCTGAACAACACTCTGGAGTACTTTTTTGATATCTCAAATGCATCTGGAGATCTGGGAGGCTTCTTGCTGTCTGCTGACATTCAAATAATGGAGGTCTATGGCGCCCGAGGCAGAAAGGTCCATAAAAGTCCACAAAAAACGTGTCAATATTCCTCCATACTGCTCGTCCAATGTATTCCAAGTGTCCTGAGTGGGTAGCGTCCATAATTTACTCGAAACGAAGTCATTTAGAATGTTTTAGAGCATAAACAGTAGTGTATAGGATTTCCTAAAAGCGCGTTCACGAGTCTACGGAAACCGCGGCAGACCAAACCAGGGCATTCAGCTCGGCAAAGAACTCATGCTCTTCCTCAACACTGAAGTCCTCAGACATTTTTCTTTCGTTGTTTCTTTCTTTGCACAGGTAAACAGCACATTTCTTCTTCTACGCTTGTATTATCGGCAGAGCAGACGCTGAATGCGCACTTTCATCTGGTTTGGTCTGCCGCGGTTTCCGTAGACTCGTGAACGCGCGTTTAGGAAATCCTATACACTACTGTTTATGCTCTAAAAACATTCTAAATGACTTTGTTTCGAGTAAATTCTGGATGCTACCAACTCAGGACACTTGGAATACATTGGACGAGCAGTATGGAGGAATATTGACACGTTTTTTGTGGACTTTTATGGACCTTTCTGCCTCGGGCGCCATAGACCTCCATTATTTGAATGTCAGCAGACAGCAAGAAGCCTCCCAGATCTCCAGATGCATTTGAGATATCAAAAAAGTACTCCAGAGTGTTGTTCAGCGTGGGGGTGAGTAGAAAATGAAGGCTAATCATGTTTTGGGTGTACTATTCCTTTAACAGGAACAGAGAGCAACAGCTGATGGTTGGATCTCAGGGCAGAAGAAGCCATGCTTTCTGTGGAAGTAAGGTACAAATGTAAGAGGGCAGTAACCCAAGAAGGGCCTTGGAAATAAAAGTGCAGCAATGACACTAGAGAGGGAAGGCCATCCCACCTGAGAGGACAGGTCACCAACGCGGTGCCTGCGGGCACCAAGGGGCCCTCAAGGACCACATGGGGTGCCCTCTACGTCTTCTGAAAACAGAAGAACTCACTCAGTGGGTTAAGTTTAATTTTTTTTATTCTGTTGCTCTTCTTTTTAATCATTTCTGTACTATTTCATCATATTTCAGTGGTTTCAAAATGACAATATTAAAAAAAAAGAAAATTAGAAATGAATAAAAAAATAAAATAAGAATAAAAATAATTTTTTATGGATGAGATTTACTGTAGGTGAACAATGATCCCTCCAGTTCATAGGTCAGTATTGGTAACCTTTCCTATTACTCGGTAGCCATGAAGTAGCCCTCAGCCTTAAAAAGGTTGGTGACCCGTGTTGTAGAGTCTTCCAGCTGCTGGGAGGAAGGATCTGTGATAACGCTCCATGGTGCGTTTAGGGCGCAGCAGTCTGTCACTGAAGGAGCTGTCCAGTTCAGCACCAGCTTAATGCATGGGGTGGGATGTTCATTTAGTTAGGATCGTCTGTTTCCCACCTCCTGGGCATCCAATCACAGCTGGCCTTCCTGATCAGCTGATCCAGACGCTTCCTCTCAGCTACAGATAAGCTGCTGCTCCGACAGGCAGATCCACAGAAGATGGCTGATTCCACAGATAAACCTTTCACTGTCACTGTTCATCTTTAAGAGAAAATTTGTTCTAAAAAAATATTTTTTAACCAACTCTAGTTTATTGATGTCAGTAATTTATTACTGTAGTTTTGTTGTCAGTTTGTGGCTAATATGTTAATTGAGACGTGAAACTAACCAGGACGTTCCACGTCAGAGTATCACTGCTGCCACCCTCTGGTTTAGAGAGGTACAGCAGGTTTATTAATGGAGCACGTTTCAGTAGCACAGTTAGAAGTGCTGTAAATAAGAAAAATAAAAGTACATTATATTAGAAATAAATTGTTTAAATAAAAGTATATTAAAACTTGAATAGGCACTGAAAACTTTAATAGTATTTAGATAACTCAGTCTAAAAGCATTAAACAAATAAGCTTTTAATCTTAATTGCTTATTCTAGATTCATCATGCTAAAGCCCCCAAACATGCTTCTGGTATAGAGCTGCTCACTGTAGATCAGCCCATGAACACATCTGATGCTGAGGAAGCAGGTAGCGGAGACTCCGATTGGTCTGAACCAGTAGACGTCATGTGACGTCTTTACTTTTCTCTAACTGGTTCCCAGTTTAGCTGCTTCCATCCAACCCTCCAGTCTCAGTGGCGCTCCCACCTCTGGATCGGACAGCAGCAGCAGAAACGCCAGCTTCCTGTTTTTCCCTGAAATCAAACCAGTCTAACACGGTTTTTGTTGAAAATGTACAAATTTATTAAGGAAACAGAAGTTTTCCTGACAAGCTGTTAAAGATGAAGGTTTCAGCGTCCTGCAGGGGGCAGCAAACTTCTAAACCTGATTTAAACTGCTAAACACAACAACAAAAAAAAGCAATAAAACCGATCGTCCCTTTTCTTCATTACAAACGGAATAAAACATCAAAGTTGGAGCCGCCGAGACGCAGAGTCCTGCAGCGTCTTCATGTGATGAGCTGGAGGAGACAGGAAATGAGAATAATCAGGACATTCTGACCGACACTAGGGGGCAGCAAAGACACAGCTAACAGTACATGTTCTACATGTAGAAATCAGGCATCTTGTCCAGTGATTCCTTTCCAAGAGCTGCTCTCGGTCTGCTGATTGTGGGGAATTTTATATTTATTAACTGTTGTCAGTAGAGCTGGAGGAGGCAGCCATTTATTCTAGATCTGCGGCGTGGAAAACTCGAGCTCAGGGGCGGCTGGTTTACGTGCTACAGAATGGAGAAATACCTGCAGCGTCTCCAGAACTTCATGTTGAGTTTCATGTCTCCACTGCTTTGATTCCCATCGTGCTTCATCTACATTCCCTGGTAGGCAGCCGGTTCAACACCGAGGTCATGTCCTCTGGATTTTCCTTTTTTTTAATCATTATTTCATTTTTTATTCAGTCAAACTACATGATGAAAATCGTTCTGACTTTGGTGTAAACACATGCATTCTCATTTGTTAACCCTTTAAAGCCCGATCCAAGAATAAAACAAAACAGAAAATTACTATTTTTTTGGTTTAAAGTCCTTATTTGCCCTTTTATCAAAATATGTAAAAAGAAAAAAACAGAAATACATTTTTGATATTAATCATTTATTACTATGCGATAAGTCTTCTACTGGCTGTTATCAGGTATATCTGATTGTGTACAATAGGATTTTGAGCAAAGTTTTTACCATTAAATTATGCAAAAGGTGTCAGACGCAAAACATTTCAGAAACCGTATGTATCAAATAAGATACATTTGGCATTATAGGGTTAAAAAAATAAAGTCCATAATCAGCTTATAAAATCATGTTATTTTAAAACTGGGTGGAAATTGCATCCGACATCCTTGCATCCTTCGTGAAAGTCAGCCGCCCACGCTCTGAACGCCACGAGTAATAGGCGACCAGTTTTTAGTGGTGGAATCTTATGGAAGTAAATCTGTGTCGCTGGGATTTGAATTAAAATGCCACTGAAATTTAAATGTTGTATGTTTGTTCTTACTGTTTCAGTGTTAAAATATATTCAGAACACATTTTTGACCTAAAAAAAAAATTGTCATTATTTCATGTTATTTTCTCTTCAAGCTAAAAATTCACATTACTATTTCAAAGTGATTACATTTTCAATACTTATTTTTCAGTTTAATTTTTTGAGTGTTAAAAAAATCTGCAGATAAAAAAAATTAAAATTCAAACTCAATATTTTCAGCCTCCTGAGATTCAACAGGCTCTATTTCACCGTCTTAAATTCGGCGTCTAAATTCAGTGTAAAAAGGGAAGGGTTACTTCAGGTCACAGACATTAGCAATGGATTGTGGCATCCAACACCCAGCCAATCCCGTTTAAACGTTTCAGCTTCATGACATCATCAATCTGGACTCTGTGAAGAGTTAATTTCTCTGCATTGATACAAGGAAAACGTTTGGATGCTTCTATCGACTGATCACAGATCTTGGAAAGGCGTTAAAGGACAATGAGGATGATGATGATGTGTACAGGAACGTTAACTTACGGTCTTGACTGTCTGTTTGATGAAGTCCTTCCTGCTGCTCAGGTCGTGTTCTGGATACGTGTCGAACACCTGAAACAGCAGCAGAGGTTTAATGAGGCGTCAGTCAGTATGAAGGGCTCAGACATCATGATATTATACTGTTATCGTCCAAATATGGTCGCCGATGCTCTCCCCATCGTCTGTCCTTTATGGAAATGACCGCAGGCGTTATTTTGTAAAGGTGCCAAAAACAGAGGATCAGCTTCAGGTTGGATAAATCTTTCTGCAGATGGAAACTGAATCTGATCTCATAAAGGCGTATAACGTGTTCCGTTCCGAGCAACACGGAATCTGATTTGCAGCTGCTTTGTAGATCAGCTCTGCGCATCTGAACAAGTTTACGTGTCTTTCAGCAACTTTTAAAACATTAGAGGGAGGGGTCGCCTGCTCGCTTGTTAGGGAGAGACGAGCCGCCGGTGATGGAGAGGAGAGGCGTACACCGGCCGGATCGTCATGGTGACATGAAAAACGAATTAGCAGGCCGTTCCCATTGTTTCATTAAAGAAGAAGAATGAGACTTTAATCCAAGTATGAAGAATAATTGATAAATCGTGAATCAGCAGCAGCCAGCGGGAAGCTGCTCACCTTCTGACAGATCTGCTTCATGGTCATCTCCTCCAGGTTGGCCTCCTTCAGGAGCTTCTCCACCGTCCCCTTCAGCTGCTCGTCTGTCGGAGCTTTCTTTATCATCTTGATGAGCGGCTCGTCGTCGTCAGAGCTGTCCTCAGCTGCGGAGGAGAGGTCAGATACAGAGACTGTCACCATGGTAACGGCACACTGCCACTGCAGAGACCTACACCGTGGCATGATGTTACAGGGGCCGTCACCATGGTAACAACATATCTCAGACAGTCATTATGATAACAGCATAAAGTACCAGAGGCTATCACCATGGTAACGGCGTGAAGCTACAGAGATCATCACCATGGTAACGGCATGAAGCTAAAGAGATCATCACCATGGTAACGGCATGAAGCTAAAGAGATCATCACCATGGTAACAGCATGGAGCTACAGAGATCATCACCATGGTAATGGCATGGAGCTACAGAGATCATCACCATGGTAACAGCATGAAGCAACAGAGATCATCACCACGGTAACAGCATGAACCTACATGGCATGAAGCTACAGAGATCATCACCGTGGTAACGGCATGAAGCTACAGAGATCATCACCGTGGTAACGGCATGGTAACGGCATGAAGCTACAGAGATCATCACCGTGGTAACGGCATGAAGCTACAGAGATCCTTACCATGGTAACAGCATGAAGCTACAGAGATCATCACCGTGGTAACGGCATGAAGCTACAGAGATCATCACCGTGGTAACGGCATGGTAACGGCATGAAGCTACAGAGATCATCACCGTGGTAACGGCATGAAGCTACAGAGATCCTTACCATGGTAACAGCATGAAGCTACAGAGATCATCACCGTGGTAACGGCATGAAGCTACAGAGATCATCACCGTGGTAACGGCATGGTAACGGCATGAAGCTACAGAGATCATCACCGTGGTAACGGCATGAAGCTACAGAGATCCTTACCATGGTAACAGCATGAAGCTACAGAGATCATCACCGTGGTAACGGCATGAAGCTACAGAGATCATCACCATGGTAACGGCATGGTAACGGCATGAAGCTACAGAGATCATCACCGTGGTAACGGCATGAAGCTACAGAGATCCTTACCATGGTAACAGCATGAAGCTACAGAGATCATCACCGTGGTAACGGCATGAAGCTACAGAGATCATCACCATGGTAACGGCATGAAGCTACAGAGATCATCACCGTGGTAACGGCATGAAGCTACAGAGATCATCACCATGGTAACAGCATGAAGCTACAGAGATCATCACCGTGGTAACGGCATGGAGCTACAGAGATCATCACCGTGGTAACGGCATGAAGCTACAGAGATCATCACCATGGTAACAGCATGAAGCTACAGAGATCATCACCGTGGTAACGGCATGAAGCTACAGAGATCATCACCATGGTAACGGCATGAACCTACAGAGATCATCACCATGGTAACGGCATGAACCTACAGAGATCATCACCATGGTAACGGCATGGAGCTACAGAGATCATCACTATGGTAAAAGCATGATGCTACAGAGATCATCACCACGGTAACGGCATGAAGCTATAGAGATCATCACCATGGTAACGGCATGAAGCTATTTAAAGAAGATATTTGAAATATGTTTAAAGATCAGTGTTAATATTCATTGATTAGATGTTGTTGTTCTACCTGTTTGAGACAAGGATCAGGGAAAAGGGTTAAAACAGGCCAAAGTTAAATTGCAATTAGAAAAAAATAAGAATTTAACACTCCTGATCCAGCATTAGGTTTGCCTGAATTAAAATATTCGTCTAAGTATTTCAGATTTGAGTCCTTTGCTTTGTCAAGAACATCTGGAAAAGATTCAGTTTCTTTAAAACCAGAGCAGAGAACATGGAAGCACATTTATTTCTCTCAATGAAGAGATTTACATCTCTGGTGAGAAAATGTTATTGTTGATCCCATTTAGAAGAAGCTTCTAACAACCATCAATGTCCATTTTCTCTACGGCGAGAGGCGGGGTCCACCCTGAACAGGTCGCCATTCTGTCGTCACGGCAACACAGAGACAAACAAACACACACAAACAGGCACACACTCACACCTGAGCACAATCTGGAGAAGCCAATTAACCTGACAGACTGTGGGAGGAAGCCGGAGTACCCAGAGAGAACCCACGCATCCTCAGGAAGGAAAAATGCTGAAACACCCAGGGCAGGGAATCAAACCCAGAACCTTTTGCTGCTAACTGCGCTTCTAACCACCTTTTTGTTTTTCAGGATTAATAATGAAAAGTTTAAATCGGGGTTAAATTAATTTGTTCGGTTTATGAATTAAAGTCTGTTAATAATCAATAAAGAGCCTAAACCTTTCCTGTCTGTTTGAACCACTGATCATTGCTGAGGTTCCCAAACTGTCAGGTTTTACTTTTCTCCCTGTTCAATTATTTACTTTATTATAGGATTAACAATCATTTTAGTCCAACCCTTGTTCTACCTCGTCTTTACCTCTTAAGGCACAATAAAACTACAGATTTCTGGTTTTCTCCAAACAATTGGAAGCTTTTGACTTCTTACCAAACCGTTATAAAACATTTTGCTTGAAGGAAACCCCTCTGTCTTATTAGCCTTAAACCTATAGAGGGCGCTATAGGTTTATTTGTCATTTATTTGTCAAGTTTTTCTTATAATGTACTGAATTTACTTTTGTCGATTATTGTTGCAAAGAACACGTTTTACAAATGGAATTTAAAAAATATAATCCAGAGATGAAGCTTTCAAAAATGTTTTAAAGAAAGGTTTAGAGGAACTTTGATGTTTCTTCATATTTATTTTTTCTAACAGATTTTTTTTTTTCAAATGACTTTTTAAAGATCACATTCAACTTTTTATTAAGAGTGATAAAAATGTTGCTAACATCCAGTAGACCAATTAAAATGCGTCTTGAGTCCCCACTGCAGAGGAAGCCCCGCCCCCCCAAGTGGAAAGAATGATCTGGAAAAAGCAACTTCAATAGAATGAAATTCTAAAGCTTCATCTGAAAAACGGAAACTTGAATAAATTTCAGCAAATAAATAAAATATCCAGCTTCATGACATCCATTAATAAATCAATGCAATTAAAACATTTTATAAAATAGGAAAAGCAAATAACTAAGATTTGAAAACACTTAATAATCACATAAATAAAACATTTGAAAAAAATAAAATCTTTGCAAACATCATAGTTCCTCTTAAAACCTTTCTTTGTTTAAATCGTTTATCAAAGTTTTGTTTCTGAATTTCCATTTATAAATAGTTTTTTTTTGTAACAATAGTGGAACAAAGTTCTCCCCATAGCGTTGACCCTTGGTCTCCCTGGTGGAGGAATAAAGACACGCCTCCTGCAGCTCCTCTGTTTCGATGGAAAGTGAAAGTTGCGTTGACGGAACGGACCCTGACCCGGTTCTGAGCGGAACCGGCAGCTCACCCGTGTTGGTGCTGTTCTTCCTGTTGCTGCTGCTGCTGTCCGCCTTCTTGGTTTTAGCTGCTGCTGCTTTCTTCTTCTTTGGCTGAAACACAAACGGCACGGCTCGGTGTTAGAACTGGTCTGCTCGGTCCGATGGGGGTGGGGGGGTTTGGTACCTTCTCCTCGGCGTCGCTGTCTCCACCGGACTCCTCAGAAGTTTCTTTCTTCGCTCTTTTCTTTGGTGGCCCCGTCTTCTTCGTTGGTGGCCGCTGCCTCTTCTTCTTCCCTTTGCTGGACTTGGTCTTGGAGGACTAACAGAACAAAAGCCAGAGCGGTTCAGTAGGAACCAGGTCTTTGGATCCTGCAGAGGAACCAGACTGGTCGTACCTCAGAGTCTTCCTGATCTTCCTCCTCTGACTCCCCCGATTGGCCAGACTGCTCCTCCTGGTCTTCCTCCTGCTCTGACGGTCTCTCCTCTTCATCAGACCCCTCTGCGTCGGCTGAAGCTCCCACCTTCTCCTCGTCCTCCTCATCCTCGTCGCTGCTGGAGTCCATCACGATAGCTTTGGATTTACTTCCTGTTTTGGACTTTTTGGAGCTGGACGAGGAGCTCTTGGCTTTGGGTTTGCTCTTCTTGCTCTTGGTTTTGGAGTCATCTCCAGACAGCTTCTTCTTGGACTTCCTCTTCTTCTTCACCGGAGCGCGCTGTGAAGGAGCAAACAGAGCCGTTGGTGAAGGTGTTCTGAAAGAGGAGATGGTCGGAACCAGAGGAGAGGAGTCACCTTCCCGCTGCTCTTTGGGGCCATCAGGAAGTTGAGGATCCGGTCGATGAGATCCACGTGGGTTCCCTTCTTCTCCAGATCCAGAACGGTGCAGATGAGCTTCAGCTTGGTGTTGGTCAGGTTGGAGTTCCTGAGCAGAAGGACAAACGGATGAAGACGAAGAACCCAGAGACCTGAGGGGAACCTTAGGAGGCCCGCCTACCGGATCATCTTCTCCCGTTTCTTGGTGAACTCCGGGCCGTCGGCGTCGAACGGGAAGCCGCTGAACAACCGCAGGTTCTTCTTGACGGAGGCCGACTGAGGGAGAAGACAGAACCGTTACCGACCCGGTTCTGGCAGACGTCAGAGCTCCTTCCGTCCCCACCCACTGATAATGGACCCGTTTGGAAGCAGAACCGATTGATTCTGATCCTCAAACCAAACCCTGCAGCTCTACAAGTACGGAAGCCCATTGGGTCCTACTGGTGCTGCTGGACCTGCTGATTGAGGAACCGGTACCGACTGGAATGGACCAGCTGGAAAGTGAAAAGTTCTGATCCAAACGAAACGTTCCGTAGTTCACACACTTTGGCTCTTCCTCGTTTATGGAGCAACTAAGGAAATATTTATGAATTCTAAACATCCAGACCGTTTGGGTCCAGATTAAACTTCCTGAACCAGAACCGTTCCTGCTGCTGGTCTCTGACACCATACAGAACCGTTTGGTTCTGAAAGCAAAACCCTGTTTACCATCAAATGAACCCAATTCTGCTCCATCCAGAACAGAAGGTTCTGGTCCTAGAGTCCCTCGTCTTCTGGGTGTCGCTACAGAACCAATCCAGTTAATGGAGCGCACATGGGTCCAACCGGGTCGCTCTCACAGCTGTACTGATGGAGAGCGGAGCTCTACAGAGGGAACCACCAGCAGACCCGGTTCTGGTAGTGAGCCGGACGAGGCCCGGTTTGGTAACAGCCTCCTTGTTCAGTACCGGATCCAGTGAGGAACAGAATCAGCAGAACAAACCGGAAATGGACCGTTCTGTTTGAGTTCTGTTTAAGGCTTGGTTTCAGTTCACTGAAGCAAAACAGAACTGGCTAAAACTGGACCAGCAGGTCTGATCTGATCCCAGATTAAAAGCCTCCTGGTACCATGGTACCAACTTGGCCTGTAAATATCTGGGTCAGTAAGTTCTGATCCATTCAGCTGTTCCCGAGCGGGAGAGCAGGTCCAAGAGGTTCCCTAAAGCTCAGCGGTACCAGATTTAAAACATCTGGGGTGGACCTGCAGGTTCTGGATGTCTGTGATGTTCCCCTGAACACAGAACCAGCGGAGCAGCTGTAACCGGGTCATCAGGAGACTCCAGGGCCTCGGCCCGGCACCGTGGTTCCGTACCTTTCCGGGTCTGTCGAACAAGATGGAGTGCAGCAGCTTGAGCTCATCCGCCTTCCTCCTGTTGATCTCATAGTTGGTCCGAGGAATGTCTCCCAGCTTATCGCCACCGCCTGAAAGCAACACACACAGGCTTCAGAACCGGATCAGAACGCGGTTTCGGACCAGAGCTTCTTCAGGTTCTACCGTCTAAAATCTTTAGCTTCTCCTTGGCTTTGGGAGCCTGGAAGTCCAGCCTCTCCACCGTCTTCTTGGCCCGTTTTCCTTCCACGATTTCTCCCACATCTGCAGCAAGAATCAAACCAGAACCGTCACCCTCGGATTCCACATCCTTCGCCAGCGCCCCGCTCCGCTCGTCGTGCGGAGTACTCGTCTGTTATGTTAATCCATCCACTGCTACTCCTCAGTACGTCACCGCCCATGTACGCCTTGCCCGTCATTAACCGTCAAAATACGGAGCAGAGCTATTTTTTTGCTCCGCTCCGATCCGGCCAGGTCGAGATCCGCTATTGCGATCGCACCAAACAGGAAAAAGAACATTGAGAAGATCCGGTTTGTTGGAGCCAAATGCTTGATTTATGATTGAATATTTATTTATAGTTTATTATTTTTGATGATATATATTAACATGAAATATTCTGTTTTGAAGTATGAGTTGACTGACTTAATTATGAAATTATGAATTTGTTTAGTTGTGTTTTGCTGCCATTCATAATTTACGCTGTTTCTTGCCCCCGCCCCTTCATTATGGACAGGTGACTGCAGCACCTGGATTATATTGGATTTGGCTACTGGGGCCGGGTGAGCTCTTGGATTCAGTCAGCGCAGCCAAACAGTTTTTGACCGCTTTTGATTATTGCTGTTTTTTTTGAGTGGCAAAAAAGGAGCGAAATGAGCCGATATGATCTTCCTGTCACGTCATATTGCGGTAAGAAACTCTAAGTTTGTTTTGATTTTGGAAAATAAAGCCTCTCGATCAAGAGGAAAGAAAGTTTGCTGATTGCATGGTCACATCAAACAACATCTGACAGATCTGAAGTGAGTCTAACTTGGATGCTTCTGAACCAAGAGCCAAACGCATCTTTATTGGAAAGATTGCGCCAATACGGTTTGTCAACCTAAAATATAGTAACGACAGATCGGTAACTACAAACCAGAGCATAATTCTTATATATTCCCCAAAAGCTAAGACCGTTTAATTAAATGATTGTTTCTTCCACATCCCAGGAAGCAGATTTCTCATCTCCATCAAAATATCTGTTTTATACCGAGACTTAAAACTTTAATCAATTCCAGTGAAAAGAAAACCTCTTATCGCAGGCAAGGATGGAGAGATGCAGAGTTTGGAGGTAGAGAACAAACATAGTTCATAAAAAACTATTTTATTTGATCCTAGTTATCCCTGTTAAAAAAAATCCAAACAAAAAGAAAATATTTGCGCAGAAGCTGCACATATAGCTGGATGCTGATGGGGATTTTTGAAGGCGTCATATTAAACTAAGCGTTCATTTCTGCATGTTTTCACTGGAAAAAAACTAAATCTAGATACCGGTAAGTAATTTCTTCTTAAAATTAGTGCATTTGTTCTTGAATTGAGGAGATAAAAGAGACATTTTGCTAATGGAACAAGACAATTTACATTTAAAATAAGAAAACACAATTGCATTGTCTTATTTCAAGTGCATATTATCTAATTATCTTATTTAAAGAGTAAAAATACTCATTCCATTGGCAAATCATCTCATTTATCTACTCAAATTAAGGGTAAATACACTTAATTTCAGACATCATTTTTAGATTGTTTTTGCAGTGCTGCTCCTAGGAATTTAATAATAATATCACAAATGCTCTGAGTGAGCGTAGCGGAGCAGGACAGGAGGAACAGTGGAGGCTTAGCGCAGGCGGAGCGTTTACGGAGGATGTGGGATTTCAGGGTAATGGTTCTGACACTAGCAGGCTGATGGAGAACAGGTTCTGACCACAATGATTACCTGAGATCTGTGAGCTTTTGGGAGGAACGGACTCATCTCTCTGAGGATCGTCCACTTCGTCCTCCGACACGGCAGAGCTGTCCATCGCTTCCTCCGCCACGTCACTCATTCTGTCTCCTGGTTCCTGACAGGAAAGCCGTTTGTTCTAGAAGGTCAGCCGGCAGAAGACACAGGAAGTTCTGAAACCATCTTATTTCATCTGACAAGCAGAAATATTACAGCTCTAAACTCAAACATGCCTCTAAAACCCTCAGGGAACCTTTGGACCCTAATGACCCCCCTCTAAACAGGTTGGTCCTTATTTTTAAAGGAAAAGTCCGCTCATATTCAGAATTCAAACTTCTGAAAGTCCTTTAAATCTAAAATGATTCCATCCTGTTCAATAAATGATCGGTGTTTTTAATCCAGAGTAATTTTCATCTGAATGTGCTTTACTGGAGGCATCCATGTTTGTCAAAGAACACTACTGCCACCTACTGGTTAGTGACGTCACGGTGCGGTATCGGCTGTTGATCAAGTCCCAGTGCTGTATCTGGTGTTTGTCACAACGCGCTATTATCCAAGTCATCTTGAAAACATTCTTCTTCCAAATGTTGGCTACATATTACGGGTTTTTTCTCTGGCCAGACGTTCGATGGCAAATCCTCCCTCTTCAAGTTGGCGATCCAACGACCAACCCGTCCGTGGAGGATCAGGAATCAGAAAGGTGGAATAACTCTTTTTTTTCACTTTTACCCGATGTATTCCAGCATCCAGCTGCCATGCACGTGGGCATTGTCAGTTTCACTATAGCTCTGGTGAATTTCAATGGTGAAGTCCTCTGGAAATCTTCAATAATTGTTGTTGATTGCAGATGTGTCTAGTAGTTCCCATTGATTTAGCTTGTAAAGCGGGGAGAATGGCGCTAGGCTTACCGCACTGTGACGTCACTGCTGGAAGATGGCAGGAGGGAGGGGTTACTAGATTTATTTATTTTACTGATTAATGTTAAATTCATTAAATCACCACAATCGTATTAGTGTTAGGTATAAATAATGATCCATTGATCATTCCTTGAGACTGGACTCTTCTTTTAAGGCTGAATCCATGAAAATGAGCCAGAAATAGTTTTTTTTTTAGCTGTAAAAAGTCATGACCCCTGTAAGTGTACCCCAGCATGGTGGACAGAACGGCAGATTTCCATACGCCTGCACACTGATCCCACCAGAATTTAGACTTAGACTACTTTATAGTCTAAGTCGTTTTGTAGACAGTGTGGGAGAAAATTAAATATATACGGTGCAAACCAACAAACGGAAGCATCTGCCTTCATCTCAAAAGGAGAGCAGGTTTAAGGTATAATGACCACAAAGACAACAATACCATTATTTTCCAATCAATATTAGAAATTCGTTAATGTAATTTATAAGCCTAACAGGACCATAAAAGTCCCACAATTATCCCTTTTCCCCCTTCATTTTTGTAAACTATTTAGATTGGATGTTTTCAACATTAAAAAATAATTGTGTTTGAATGATAAAACAGCAGAGAAAAAAAACAAAACACAATGAATCTGAAGTAGCTGGTAAGCAGAAATTATGCATTTAAGTAAAATAAACAAACAGAATCTTAATATCTTATCATTTTTCTCTTGGTGATCACTTTAGGCAAAATGGGCAACAACAATAACTGCATTTTAAATGTGTTTCAATGGTTAATGGGTCAAAAACAAACCCAATACCAACAGAATCTGGCAGAACCAACTAACTCTAGGGCTCTGAGAGTTCCTAGCATCTGTTACCATGGAAACAGAGGGGGGAAATAGGTCCATAAATTGAGTTTTAATGGGACCAGCTGATCAGCCAAATAAAAAATTGATTTTTACCAGAACTGGGCAGAACAGCTCTGACTGAAAGAGGCTAAACTTACCCCGAGTTGGACCGAGACGGAGTCTGAATCCCGCGTTACTTCAGCAGAAAGGCTATACCAGGTTCTGGTTCTGCACAGCCACACTGCAGCCGAACTATTACCGAACCACTGATAACTTGTTCCTAGCAATAATTTATACTAACCAACACAGTTTAGCCGATTAGCTCCGCTCATTCGGCTAAATTCACTGATATCTGAATGGAGATTCTGACTCGTATATGTTGACGAGCAGCTTATCATGCAGCGCGTGCACCGGATTCAGGGGCGTGCACAACAGCAGATTCTAACGGATCTTCTCTATTTGATCACGTGCGCGCGAAGAGGCGCGCGGAAACTTAAACCTGCTAGTCGTTGAGTTAGCTGATAGTTAGCCGTTAGTTAGCTCTGCAGACCCGCATTGGATCAACTCTGACGGTACTGGACCCATCTGATTCCCCGGGGAACTAACCCGGTAATAAACGGGTAGTAACCCCTCAGAAGCCCAGTTTAGCAATTTAAACAGCCGTTAACTTAATCGGTAGGAAGCAGTTAGCTGTTAGCTCTGCCGTTAGCTTCAGTGGTCACCGATAACTTCTCTGACCCCAGGAAGAACCAAAACCAAACATAGTTCTGACAAGTTAAGAGCAAAACACAACCGAGAAAAGTTTACCTGCTGCAGAAGATCCGAACCGAACCACTCCCGCCACTCGGCTGTCAGTCGGTCATCAGGGCGGGACGCTATCTGGGCGGAACTATGGCGGCGGCAGTTCTTCTCATTGGTTCAGACATGATGACGTTTGCAACCATAAGAGTAGATTTTCGGTCGAGCCGAAATTACGGCCGCCATCTTGGAGAGGTCAACCTGCTAAAACCAGCAGGTTAGGAGAGCAAATTATAGCAAATTGTCACAGAAATGTGAACCTTAAAAAGTGTATGAAAATAACAAAATAAGTAACATTTAAAAAATAAATAAGCAAAATAATGTACATGAAATGTAATGTAATGAACAGTGTTTTTACAAATATAAATACCGTGCATTTGAAGAATATTTAATCAATTTTTGCAGTAATTTATATATAGAAAGTTACATATATATATATATATATATATATATATATATATATATATATATATATATATATATATATATATATATATATACACAATGCAGCCTGTCGAGAGTAAAGATGATTTCACTGTGTTCTTTATCTATCTATCTATCTATCTATCTATCTATCTATCTATCTATCTATATATATATATATATATATATATATATATATATATATATATATATATATATATATATATATATATATATATATATATATATAGATGATCTATAAACAGGGGATCTAGATTAGAACAGGAATGTTCTTTAAATATATATATATATATATATATATATATATATATATATATATATATATTTGTGTATACCTTTATGTGTTTTGTGTTTGTGTTTTGTATAAAATATAAATTTTATACTATATTAAAAATGACATACATTTTATACTATAAGAAAAATATAAAAATGTATGAGTGGCAGTGCTTTGCATCATACATACATCCTATCAGAATACTCTATTACTCTTAACTCCCCTAAGAATATTTAAATACCCTGAACCTTTTTTTTTTTTTTTTTTTTTTTTTTGTTTAGTCCAATATCCAGCGAGTTAAAGTTGATTAAAATAGATTCTGTTCCTGTTCAACAGATTACAGGCCGGAGCTATCGACCGCCCCAAGATGGCGCCACCACATCACGTCAGGGCTCATAGGCGAAAGAGGTCGATGTGTCTGAAATCACCTACCGCTCTCCCGACAGCGCCCCCTGCTGCCCAGCCCATGATCTATAAACAGGGGATCTAGATTAGAACAGGAATGTTCTTTAAACACAACCTCTACAAAAAAAACAACTATTCCTGATTATTATCGTCCACAGGGAAAAGGCCTGAATAATTAGTTAACAGTTTTACTTCCCTATTTAAACGAAAGAGGCACATTTTAAGATAATTAACCTCTTGATCTTTGGAAAATCGGAGCAATAGAAACTTTTAGATCTTCGATATAGAACAGTTCACTTTAACTTCAACTGTCACACATAACTAGAGTTACAATCAGTAAAGTACTAATGAACATAACCATAATGGAAAGACGTTTTATAAATAAATCTGTATTTTATTCTTCCTCCCAAACATAAACATGTTTTTAATGTTTCATTATGCCTGATTTATTGATGTAGATGTGCTATTTTTAGTCATATATCTATAATAGAATTATTTATAGAATGCTGCATAAACATCTGGTCCAATTTTCTTTTCATTTTTGTTTTGAATTGTTTTATAAAGATGTTAGGGCCATCTTACATGTCCTCGTAGCTACAACTCTTTTTTTCTTTTTTTTTGGTTTGTAATTAAACTTTATTATAACAAAGTTTTTTAAACAATCACAGCGAGTTGCTATGGTTCATCACCAGGTGGCAGCCTAACAACAAATGAATGAGGTAAGAAAGCAGACTGAGTTTTCTTGGAAGAATCAACCTGCCCTGCTTTCTTTACTCTGCTGGTTTTAGAGAGTCATGTGGAGGATGGAAGCAGCTCAGGCCTGAGATCAGGCTCACTTCCAGCAGATTCTTTCTGCTCGCAGACATGATGGAGCCAAACCTGCTCCTCCTCATCCAGATGTTGGATTGAAGCCTCTTTGAAACCATCAGACACTTTTAAGAGAACACAGAAAGCTTTTGATCATGATTTGATTATTTGATCTTTATTTTTAGTTTACTAAAGCTTCAGATGTCACAGACTCTGCTCAGACCTCAGATGGGTGAGCAGCGGTGGTCAGGATCAGGATCCACTCTGGTTCCTGGTGAAGAACATCACCTCAGACCATTTTTCTGCAGAACCAGGGACCCATAAAGCCTGCTGCTCCTCCTTCAGGCTGACACACAGTGGCGCTGTGGCAGCTGCAACCCGAGTTTAGAAACTGGAGCAGCTCTTACATGTCTTTAAAGTTGGAGCAGAAACCAGTTTGTTGCCTAGCAACAGGAGATAACAGCTATCTCTGTATGAGGGGTGAATGGTGTCCTCATCAGTGGTGGCAGAACGGAGCAGAACCACAGAGTTCTACTTTTTTGTTGTTGTTCTCACTGTAGATCCTGGTTGTTTTCTTCACGATTCCCTTTATTTAGAGTTCGTTCTGACTGGATCCAGCATATTTCTGACATTACGCTCCGCAGGACCATTAAATACCCCCAGAGAATCCATCAGAGACCCCCCTAAGATCCTAGGAGATACCCCGAGACGATCTGAGACCATGAGAGACCTTAAGAGACCCTCTGAAAGGACCACCAGAGAACACCAGACTTTCTGAGACCACTGGAGACCGACCAAGACCACCAGAGACCTTCTGCAAAGACCGCCAGAGACTATAATGGACATTCTTAGACAATCAGACACTTCCATAGATCTACTGAGAGCAGAGAATCCATCAGAGACCCCCTAAAATCCTGGGAGATACCCTGAGACAATCTGAGACCATGAGAGACCTTAAGAGACCCTCTGAAAGGACCAACAGAGACCACTCGAGACTGACTAGGACCACCAGAGACCCTCTGCAAAGACCCCCAGAGACTATAATAGACATTCATAGACAATCAGACACTTCCATAGATCTACTGAGAGCAGAGGATACATCAAAGACCTCCTGGGACCACCACAGACATTCTGAGACCACCTGAGATCATCCAAGCTGATAAGAGACAGTTATAGACCTAGTGAGTCCTCCTGAAACCTCATAAGAGCTTTAAAGATCTTCTGAGACCACTAGAGACCTTTAGAGGAGCCATTGATGGAACAACGGTGTTCTGAAGTGGAAAGATCTGAGATGTTAACCTCAAAGATGTTTCCAACATCCATCAGTGAGGGGAACAAACATCTCTGAACCTCTTCTGATGTGACATCCTTTAAGTTCCACGTGGACGGCAGAGCAGAGTTGTTGTTTTTTCAGGACTTGATCTGGTTCCTCACAGCGGATCCAAACCACCTGCTGATCCTGGGAAATTTACAATCTTCTGTTTTCAGAGCAGCCTTGTTGATGGAGGACAGAAATTTAACTGATTCAATCAGAACAGCTGTGGAACCGGCAGTAGATCATCTGCTGAAGATACCCTGCAGGTTTCATCCAGCTCCTGTAGGACCAGCGACGATCAAACGAGGCTGAAGATTCTGCAAAGGTTCTGGAAACAATAGATTCAAAGTTCTTTTCATGGAAACTGGATGATAAGATGAACAGCAGTTTTATTGGTGGTTTTTAAGGTGGGTTTGGATCATCTGACCAACTTTCATTCAGATTAAAGGAGCTAAACCTCAACTTAAATCTTCTTTACCTCCTGTTGGAAAGATGTCAGCTGATCCGTCCAGACGTGGGACACGAATCCAATAGAAGGAGACAGATGAGGACGTCTGCAGCTCGGAGGATCTAAAAATAAAACAAGAACAAAAAAAACAGAAGAAATAACATCAGCTGGAATTTAATCAGGACTAATTTTACTTCTTCATTCAGGATCCTCCTCCTTCTCCTCCTCCTCCTCCCCCTCCTCCTCCTCATGTCACTGTTTTCCTCTCATACCTCCCACCTCCACTTCAAACTGCAGCGCCAACCTTGGCAAAAAGCAGAAGCTCCTGGATCAGCAGGAGCGCCAGGATCTACAGCAGTTTGCGGATCTTCAGAGCTTCCCACCTCCTCGGACCTCTCCTGCAGCTTCTTGCCTCTCGGCTGTTTTCCCAACATGTGAAACGATGTGAAACTTCGCCGCAGGAGGATCTTCGAGTGTGAGGAGGAACCATGTCTTCCCTGAAAGCAGGTCAGACTCCAGAGAATCTGATTTTATCTTCACATCATGTGTTAGAGGAGGCTTAGCAGGAAACCTTCCAGAATCTTACATCTATTTTTCATCAGCAGAAATCAGCAGAAATATGAATGTAAAAAAGATCAGAGTTAGAAGATTTGAAGGAGGATGGAACCAGTTCATCCATCCATCCATCCATCCATCCATCATCCATAAATTCCATCCTTTCTCTCCTTCCATCATCCTAACCCAAACCATTCCAAATCCATCCATCCATACCATCCATTTAAATCCACATCATCATATCAACTATCCATCCATCCATCCAATCCAAATCCATCCATCCAATCCAACACCCAAATCCTTTCCATCCATCCATTCCCATCAATCCATAATCATTCCATCCAATCCATCCATCCATCCATTCATCCAACCCATCCATAAATCCATCATCCATCCAATCCAATCATCCACCCAAACCCAAATCTCATCATCAAAATAATCCAAATCCAATCCTCCATTCCATCCCATCCTTTCATCCATCCATCCATCCAAAAATCACCATCCATCCATTCATCCAACATCCATCCATCATCCATTATCCATCCATCCATCATCCATACCACCCAAAATCCAATCCATCCCATTAAATCTTTTCCTCCATCCATCCAATCCAACCATTATATCAACATCCATCCATCCATTATCATCCATATCATTCCCATCCATCCATATCATCCATACCCAATCCAATTCCATCATCCATTCATCCATCCATCCATCCACCCCCAAAACCCAAACCCTCCATCCAAAAATTCCATCCATCATTCATACAACATCCATCCTTTCAATCCAATCCATCCATCCATCCATCCATAATATCCATTCATCCAACCATATCCAACCTACATTAACCAACATCCATATCAACCATCCTATCCAACATCACCA